CCTGGGTGGCTCAGTTGGTTAAGCGACTGCCTTCGGCTCAGGTCATGATCCTGGAGTCCCGGGATCGAGTCCCGCGTCGGGCTCCCTGCTCAGCGGGGAGTCCGCTTCTCCCTCTGACCCTCTTCCCTCTCGTGCTCTCTGTCTCTCATTCTCTCTCTCTCAAATAAATAAATAAAATCTTTAAAAAAAAAGATATCTCCCCATTGTTTTAAAAAAATTCTGGGAAGTGTCATACCTTGAACTGCCTTTTAGGACTTCATTTATTAATTCCATTGAGTTTCTGTTAAATGTTACCTGTTCCAGTGAGAAATTTGGGCAAATTGAGATCAGTTGTTCTGCTAGCAATGCAAATGACAGTATTTTCCGCCCAGAGTAGCTCTCATTGCCCCCTTTCAAGTGAGTTTGGGATTCTACATTCAGAACATTATTCGATGCAGAGAGGCAATGTAGTTTGGTGGAAGCAGAGGCTTTTGGATCACCAAAATTAGCTTTGCCAGTTGTCTGATGTGTAACCTCAAGCAGGTTTCTTACCCTCTCTGTGTTTGGGTTTCAGTTTCCTCACCTGTAAAGTAAGTCTAATACCCACCCATTGGGGCTATTAGAGAGATGGATTAGAGGAGATGGGATTTAGTAAGTACTTGGTAGAAAGAAGGTCATTATTATGTTTTAGAAGAGGTATGTTAGGGGTGCCTGGCTGGCTCAGTTGGTAGAGCTTGCAATTCTTGATCGCAGGGTCATGAGTTCAAGCCCCACGTTGGGCATGGAACCTACTTAAATTTTTTTTAAGTCATTCTTTTTTTAAAGATTTTATTTATTTGACAGAGAGACACAGCAAGAGAGGGAACACAAGCAGGGGGAGTGGGAGAGGGAGAAGCAGGCTTCCCGCTGAGTGGGGAGCCCAATGCAGGGCTAGATCCCAGGACCTTGAGATCATGACCTGAGCCGAAGGCAGACGCTTAATGACTGAGCCACCCAGGCGCCCCCAAAACATTTTTTAATTACAAAAATAAAGAAGAGAAATGTGAATGAACATGTAGAAGGGAGGGATGCAGAGTGTTGCCTAGTAAGAGTTAACTTTATCACTCTGGGAGGTGTCTTTCCGAAAATTTCAACAAGCTCACAATAGCCACTGGAATGGGTGTGTGTCTTTGCAAACAAAACGTGTAGATGCATGTCTTCATGCCTGGGCTGGCTGCTTCAAACACTGATTATAGCTTAAGAACTAGAAAATAAATGTGTTTTCCTTTGAGTGTTGAGGGCGAGCCTCTGATACTGCTTCTTAGCTGTGGCAGACGCTAACAATTTGGGGGGTTCACACTTTGCTAGACACCAATCACCATTTATGTATATGTGTATGTATGTATGTATGTATGTATGTAGATGGGCAGATTGCCGGCCAACTGTGGATGATGCTGTCCTCATCAAGCTGAACCAGGGCTTCCTTGGCTACAAAATGGGTCTGTCTATCTGGATGATATGAGTCTTTGTCATACACTAGACCTATTCTTCGCCTACTGGTATTCTTTCTCCATTATTTACTTCTGCACACGATGCTAGCCCATTAGAGCTAGTACTACTAGGAGAGTGGAGTGTAGGCCTCTGTGGAAGGCTATCCTACCTCCATATGTTGCAACAGAAGGAGCACAGAGTTGACTGGGGGGCCCTGATACCAGCTTTGCCACTGACCAACTGTATGACATTAGCAAACCCAGCTGGCTAACTGCTATGCAGTTTGGTGCCCTCAGCCTACCACCCAGATGTATTGTGATCTTCCAAAGGAATGGTGAAAGGAAAAGCATCTGGAAGTGTCTTAAGTATTCTGCCCCTGGGGGTGTTATCATTAGTTTCTTTCTTACCACATATTTCATGGCTAGGAGCGAGACTGCCAACTACTCAGGCCAGAGTCTGGTAAGTTCTTGCATTTCCTCCTCCCCAGCCCCATGGTTAAGATGGGAATTCAAGTTGGAACGTAAGTTCAAGCCATCTAGTTCCTAGGCTGGAGGTCAGGGATCTCCACTTCATTTTCCCCAAAGGCCACTCAGGGCTTTTCCAGGATAACAACAAAGTCTTTTCATCTAATTTTTCCCCTAGCTAATGAGACTTGGGGGTGGCCTTCGCGAAGATTCCCAAGTGAACATTTAATTCTGTATTTCCATTCACTCGACAAGTACAACTCAAAATAGAGTGTCTACTCCATAACAGACACAGCATCTCTGGAGATACCATGGTAAAGGTGTCAACTGAGCGCCCTGCCCTCTCAGACCTTCGGTCTAGTGAGAGCAACAGGTGCAGAATATCTCCCTACATGGTCCCCAGGTATCTTAATCCCCACTTCTCCAAAGGTAGACTCCTCATCTTCCACCCAAGACTCTTCTTCCCCTAGGCTTCCTCATGTCAGTGAGGAGATCCACTCAGTTGCCCAATCAAGAAACTTGGTAGTCATCCTTCACACCTCCCTCTGTCTAACCCACCAATTCCAACCAGCACTACATTGTATGGTTTTTACCCTCTGAAATCACTCTTAAATCTCTCTTTTCCCTGTCTTCACTGCCATGAACCTAGTCCAGGTCACCGTTATTTCTCTTCAGGAGGTCACAGCCTCCTCACTGGGTTCCGTGTCTCTGGTCTTGCTGCCCCATCCTCTCCCTTCCTTTATATGTAGAGTTGATACTGTATGGACTTTGGTTAAGTTCCTTTCCCTTTCTGGGCATCAGCTTCTCCATCCTGAACGGGATGAGTTCCTAAGTCTTGAGCAGCAATCTTTTCTGCGGTTCTGTGATCAGATGGTTCTCGATTGCACTCTGGGGTGGCTATCTAGACTTCCAACGAAGTTATTGCTGTGCCTGACCACTGGCTTCTCAGTGTGCATATTCATTCATGCATTTCTCCATTCATTCAGCATTTACTGAGCTCCCGCTGTGTACTAGGCACTGTACTTAGCGCAGGTGATTCAATGGGGGAATAAGAACATGACCTGTCCTCAAGGAGCTCAATCTGTTGGGGGTTATAGACACAAACAGGAGATCTAGCCCCTTCCGTGAGGTGGGAGTAATCGTGGAAGGCTCCCTGGAGGAGCTAACATCTTTTTAAAATTTTTTTTTAGAAAGAGAGAGCATGTGCGAGCAAACGAGTGAGGGGGGTGTGAAGGCTAGAGGGAGAGGGAAAGAGAGAATCTTAAGCAGGCTGCACCCAGTGTGGGACTCAATGCAGGGCTCAACACAGGGTTCGCTCTCATGACCCTGAGATCATGACCTGAATCGAAATCAAGAGTCAGGCACTTAACCGACTGAGCCACCCAGGCGCCCCTGGAGGAGCTGATATCTTGGAGCCTGAATGATAAATAGGAGCTAACTAGGAGAGCAGAGACATGTACAAAGGCCCTGGGACAGGATGCTAAAAGAAAGTAAAGCAAGATTGGAAGATGGCAGACCAAGAGGGAGGCTATGGCAACACTCTAGGGGAGACATGAGGAAGACCTGGACGAAGACCATGGGGATAGAGAGAAACGGACAGGTTTGAGTTGCATTTTGGAGGTGGAATTGACAGCCCTTGCTGGTGGATTGGATGCAGAAGATGAGGGAAGAGAGGTCATGGAGAGCCCTTAGGTTTCTGGTTTAGTCAACTTTGTGGATAGACTGTCATTTGCTGAGTTAGTTCCATTTACTCAAGAGGAAGGAGTTGGTTTCGGGAATGGGGTTGAGGAGAAGATGATGAGTTCAGCTTTGGTCATGTCGAGTTTGGGATGGTATATCCAGGTGGAGAGGCCTGGTGAGCCATTAGTTATAAGCCATTAGTTATACCATATATATTCTGGTATACTGAGAAGAGCAATCGGGGCTGGAGGTTCAGACTGGGGAGTCATTAGCATGTAGAGGAAGTTCCTTTAGGAGAATGAGCAGACACTGAAGAGCTGAGTGCCCAGGAGAGCCAAGACACCAACACCAAGAAAGGGGGGCAGTGCTCTCATAGATGTGGGGTGCTGGCATACATGCTCCTTCATTCCTGAGCACACATCCCTGCCCCAAAGAGAGTTTCTCAATGATATCTGTGCATCTCCCACTTAAACTTAAGAGAACGAACATTAAAAATACCCAGTCATGGGATGCTTGGGTGGCTCGGTCGTTAAGCGTCTGCCTTTGGCTCAGGTCATGATCCCAGGGTCCTGGGATCGAGCCTCGCATTGGGCTCCCTGCTCAGCGGGGGCCCTGCTTCTGCCTCTCCCGCTCCTCCTGCTTCTGTTCCTGCTCTCGGTGTCTCTCTCTCTCTGTCAAATAAATAAATAAAATCTTTAAAAAATATACTCAATCATAACTTTTCCATTTTACTGTAAATGATACCTAAAGAGGGAAGGGAACGGATACTTTCATGTTACCGGCCAGGCGTTCATTAACTCACTTAAATGCCTACAATAACCCTACACCAGAGCTATTATTTCTCAGCGCTCTAGAGACTCAGTGGTTACATCACTTGCCCAAGGTCACCTAGCTATTACATGGCAGTAAGGAGATTTGACTCCAGCTCTGTCTGACTCCAGATCCAGCACCACCATACCAGGTAACAACACTACACCGCCTCCTGCTATAGAGCTGGATCCTCAGGAAAGCCTGCACATGCTCCCTTTTCCCTTCTGTTTCATAAATATCATTTGCATCCCCTAGCTTAATGCTTTGCTCTCCATTAAAATACAAATCCCCTTGGGGAGAAGTAAAGCTCTAAGTTGTTGTCAGTCATTTATGCCTCAGTGGCAATGAGTTTCAGATTCTTCCATAGGCTTAAATTTTAATTTGATGGGAGAAGGACACTGGAAACTTCAGGAAGGGATAAAAAGACAAAAAGGGGGCTAATAAGGAAAAACCACCCCCCCTCCATTTCACACTAGTGCCTAGTCTGAGGCATGTGCTTTTATGATTCTTTGAGGCTATTTCTGCGCCTGTGTACCACAACAGTCTCCCCTTCTCCACGGTTTTGCTTTCCGTGGTTTCAGTTACCCGTGGTCGACCATGGTGCGGAAGCAGATGATCCTCCCTCTGACCTATTCACTAGTAGCCTACCACTACGTCACTGTGCCTACGTCGTTCCCCTCATGTCATCTCACCACGTAGGCATTTTACCATCTCACATCATCCCAAGAAGGGTGAGTCCAGAACAGTAAGATATTTTGAGAGAGACACCACATTCACATAACTTTTTTTTTTTACAGCAAATTGTTAATAGTTGTTCTGTTTTATTATTATTGTCAATCTTGTCCTGTGCCTGGTTTACAAATTAAACTTTATCCCAGGTATGTGTGTAGAGGAAAAATGATAGTATATATATATATATATATATATATATATATATATATATATAGTTTGGTACTATCTGCAGTTTCAGGCCACCACCGGGGGTTGTGGTACACATACTCACGAATAGGGAGGGACTACTGTCTTTCATATGCAGACCCATTACTGGGTCTGTTACCCCAGTGATGTGGGGCCGGAGCTGTGGGTGTGGTCTGATCTAAGGTGACCCGAAACCGCATGCTAGCCCCAATGCCCTGTGGTCAGCAGGAAGCAGGCAGCCTGCGCATCAGTCAGGCACTGTCGTTCCTGGCCTCAGGCACAAGTCCCAGCTCAGTCTCTGGAGAATTCGACCCTGCTGCGCATATTTAAAATCCCTAGCAGATGGAGGCAGGAGAGCTTGTTGGAAAGACTGGGTGGAGTCCCTTCTGCCCTGTCTGGGTCTATTTGCCAAAATAAATGACATGTATGAGGGCAGGGCATTGGTCCAAGCCCATTGAAATTCTGCTAGCAGTCCCAACAGTGCTGGTGTTTCAGATTGGCTCTGGGAAATGATCAGAGTTAGGAAGAGAGAAATGATGTGTGAGCATCTGGCTGCTGCAGCCTACTGATGGGGACAGTCCCAGGGGCGGGCCCGGGGTAAGGGGGGCAGCCTCAAGGACCCCCTAGGACATCTGCCACTGGCGAACAGGGAAAGGGCCCCACACTGGCAGCCGGCAGTCTGGTTGGAGTCCCACGCTGTTTTCCTCACTAGCTATGGGACCCGAACAAGTCCTTCCCCTTCTCTTGGCTTCTTTTTTTCCCCCATGTATAAAATAGAACCTAGATGAAATGGTCTCCGAGGGCCCTTTCTGCTCGAACATTCTGTGACTTCTCTGACATGGGTTTGATTTCTTTTTATTTGTAGTGAGAGAGGCCCACCCACCCACCTGCTTATCTGCAGCTGCTGTGTTCTTACACTGACCTCTGCTGGCCATTATGAAAGGTGCCACCGATCGCTTCTTCGGAGGACCAAATTAAAAAAAAAAAAAAAAAAAAGGCAGTTCATCATTGATTTAGGGTTAAGCTTCATCAGTAGAGTGGGCACAGGGACAGGAACCCCATGCCTTGGAGACGAGCGAAAAAGGACATACAGCTGGAAGCACTGAGCAAGCATATCTGCAGATGGCTGACAAAACACCCCACAAAGCAAATGTGTCTCTCCCTTCTTTCCGTGGTGGTCGTCATCTGTTGGCGGTGCTGCGTCCCACTGTATGATGGCACCGCAGTGGGGAGGAAGAGTCCTCGTCTCGGATTCTATGATCCAGAAGGGCCTGGCACCCCACTGAGGAGGCAGTTCTAGGCTAGTGGTACCTCAGAGGCCTCGAGACATCCTGCAGGCCCCGCTTCTGGCCCTTAGGTGGGTCTGAGAGCTTTCTAGCTGGGGCCAGCCCAGAGGCTGTACCTCGGAGGTATGCATGCCCCCGAGGGGGGCCATTTCAGAAGGCCCTTTGGAGAAAGAACTAGAATCCAAAGAATCTACGAGTCCTTTAAGAGACTCACTCTAAGCTCTCTGTGGCAAATTCAGCATGGCTGGCCAGCCAAGAGAAAGGGAGCGGGCCAGGGAATCCTGCCTTTTCTCGATGGAATCAGATTTCCTGTTAAGTGCTGCCTTAGAATCACCTCACTCCTACGTCTCCTTGGTTACTCTTGCTGAACGTGTGCTCACAGAGGCAAGAGACCAGAGCTGGAGTGTGCCAGCCAGGCCCTGCTCAGGCCCCAGTGATGCGAGCAGGATGGGAACTGGGCCACACCACAATCTGCTCTCTCAGTCCAGTGGTTCATCGTGTTCTCCACCTCCCATCCCTTGATGTGAGAAAGCTTTGGGCAGTCCTCAGATTTGGGTCAAGCACTCAGTGCCCTGCCTGCGTCCTCTTTGCTAGTAATAACCTGGCCTCAGCAAGCCCATCCTGGGCCCCATCCTGGGCCCCATCCTCCCACCAACCAGTCCCCACCCTCCGCAACAGCTGGTTCTTATCTGTCTCCCTTGTTCTAGCCTCAGGCAGGCTGGAACTTCAGCCCTGAAATGCCGCCTTCCTCCCATTCGTCCCCTGTCCCCAAACCTCTGAGGGTTCCCTATGCACTCCTCCGTCAAGTCTTCAACTTTCCTTCTTTGCTTTCCAGGCCCGCCTCAGTTGGGGCCCCCTCAGCCTTTCCAGTGTGGGCCATGACTCCCCCCAGCCATGGACAGAACGTAAGCATTTCACAAACCCTCCATGGCCAACCCTTTCTTTGCGCTCCTGGACCACTTAGGCTCTGTTCTTCTAGACCTGTACTGTTTGCTGTGGTTTTGTGGACATTAGTCTTGAAAGCTAGGCCTACTTTCTGGACTTCTTTGTTAATCCTCAACCCTCCAGCATTATTTTTTTTAAGTATTGGTATTGGTCTTTTTCTTTTTAGTACTGTTATTGGTCTTTTTCTTTATACACACACATACACACGCGCACACACACACACACATAAACTTACAAGAGTAATAAATAACAGAATCATTATAAACAAAATTCCAACAGTGGGAGGTAAGAGCATAAAAAGTGAAAGTTCTCATCCCATTCCAGCGTCCCCAGAAATAAGCCATTAAGCACTCCACAGCCAAGCACCCTTTAGAAGTTACATGTTGGGTGCTGGAGAAGGTTAGTGGTGGGTGGTACCCCCAGAAAATTGCATCTCCTTAGGAAGAACATCTTTGTACTTCTTTGGATGAGTTATTGGTCTTCGTGGGCCTAATTGACACTGGAAATTTTACTCCAAAGGCCCCGCACAGCTGGTGGCCAGTTGCATCTCCAGTACGTGACTCTGACCACTACCTAAAGCATCTGTCCTGTTTCCAGCCTTTTAAAAAGCAACCCTTGAAGGTGAATATTAAAGGGTACGTCTAATGGGCTTTCCTGAGTTTTTAGCAGATGTGTGGGAAATTACAGATAGTCAGTAAAAGGGCCAAGAGGTGGAGATGGGAAACGTTCATGAAAATAGGCTCTCTACCTGGTATGGCGTGGTGTTCTCTGAGAGGTAATGCACATTACTAATGGTTTTCATCTTTCTGCCAAGAATATTCGGTACCTACTGGGATTTGTTCTAAATGACAGACTAGCCCGCCTGTGTTGCACCCACTGGGGTTAATTCTCTATCTCGGTCAGCTTTGAAATGTCAGCCTGAACTCTCAGACTTAATTGTTGCAGACACTTTATAACTAACGGATTCAAAATCCTCAAGCTGCTCCCTCTTGCTATCATAATTGATACTTAATGGATAGTCGCAGGCTTCTTGAATTTTACACATTCAACACTCTACAGATGGTGGGTTGAAGGGAAAGAGGGAGAAATAGAGAAGGAACAAGTAAACTGTGTGTGTGTGTGTGTGTGTGTGTGTGTGTGTGTGTGTGTGTGTTCCCTGTAAGCATCTGTTTCCAGTTGCAGTGATGGGGCCCTGGGATCTGTAAACAAAGATGAGCTTTTGCAGGTTGGTCAGCCTATGGGTTTCTGGGTTTTCCCCTCTCTGGATCTTTCTCCCCTCTCTGGACCCCACCCCCACCCCGAGGCAATGTTCTTTAGGCCTAGCCCTTTCTGGATTTCACTGCAAGTATGGGATTGGCCATTTGAATGTGAGTTATAAAATGTCACGATGCTCTCCAGCGTTCTGTTCTTTCACCATTTTGACAATCTGATGGATGGCCTGGCATCAACTAGAAAGAGGACAATATTAGCCCGCCTGAATAACTAATCTCCTAAGAAGTACAAAGTTGAAGGATCTTGGTGCACATGAATCTTATTAAATGCGCTTATAAAATATGTTCTATCCAAACAAGCTTAGCGGCCCCGAAAATAGCCTTCTCTGATCTGTGTCTGGAACTTTGGCATGCCTCACAGATCTCTAAGCCAAAATTATTCAGTGAAGCGATGACAGTGTTCTCTGTGCATGGGAAAATGGGGAGTGTTGATGTTGAGTCCTCTGTTGGCTAATTGCATCCGTGTTCTCTCCATCTTAGGGGCGACCGGGACCAGTCGGAATTCAAGGTCCAACAGGTCCACAGGGATCTGCCGGCCCTAGTGGTTTAGCAGGGTTGAGAGGAGAGAGAGGCTCCCCAGGCCCTCTGGGACCATACGGACCAAAAGGAGATAAGGTAAAAACACCAGAGCCTGCTTTCTCTTTGACTCGTGGACCACACGTATGAAGGCGAAAGGTTCTAAATCTCAGTTCTGTTCGCTTATGGAAATAATACTAATCCTGAGTCCCTCGGTGCCAGGCCACAGACTTTAATGAGAAACAGCCTGGACGATATGCTGCCAATGGATCAACCATTTCTAGAGAGACCCTGGATCAACCCATTTCTAGAGAGACCCTCATGGAAAGCAAGCCGTTAAAGCGCATGTGTTGGCTACTTGCTGGACACGCGGGCTTGCCGGGCTGGGATTTCAGGTGGGTTCGAGGTGGGCATGGGTCAGAAGTTCAAGCAGCTGGGCAGGAGAGGTCAGGAATCCAAGCAAGGAGACTGGGAAGCAAAGTGTCAGAATGCTGGGAAGCAGTCTGGGCCACAAAGGTAGGGAAAGAGATGCAAGAAAGGAGATTGATCATGTCATGGTAGCTGGCTGAGTTTAGCAGCTTAGTTTATATTCCCTGCAGATTTTAATCACCTCCTATTCAGCCCACTGTTAAGGGAGTGATTCCCACCCTAGGGTTCTGGGGATGGCAGAAGACATGACCCCTGACCTCGGATGGAAGAGATTGGCATCAGGTTTATTAGTCACCTATACTCAACGGCACAGGGTAGAAGGACACCACACACCACGCAGGGCCACATGGTGTGTGGGGGGGTGCACTCTGGAACAGAATAAACCAGAAGGGGCTGTGAGAGGTAGCCTTTGTAGTGTCAAAAGGGTGAGGTGCCCTTTGGTTCCCGTGGGAGGATGTGGTTGGCTTGTTTGAATAATTTAATGAGCCATCAGGGACCGAAACCCACGACTCAGGGACAAGCAGGAACTGCACCTGCTCTGTTTGATAAGGAGGGCCATTTCCCTAGCAGACCTCAGACCTCCTCTATGGCAGCAGTGAAGACAGGGGAGCTTGGGGCTAGGCCTTTAGAGGCCCTCCCAGTTTTCCCAGATGTCAAAGCAGCATGTAATATTGAGCTATTATTTTTGGTCGGGCGCCATATTGCTCAAGATAAAAACTGGTCTCAGAACACAAACATATTTAACACCGTGGGTAGAGGCAAGTGACCACCTGGACCTGGAGTAGGGAGCAACGTGACACAATGTGGAGAAGGAGGTGCACAACACTTCTTAACTTAGGTCATGAATCACATGAAAGAACCCACTGAATCTAGTGGAGATCAATTAGATTGTCTCTTACACCTTCCTCTTCCTACTCCTTGTTTTAGGGTCCCATGGGAGTTCCTGGCTTTCTCGGCATCAATGGGATTCCGGTGAGTATGTCCCCAGAGGCAGTTTTCAGCATCACTTCTAGGTCGTGCCTCACAGTGCACTCACCTTGGCCTTCGCCACATCCTGTCTCACACAAGCGTGCTCCGGGTCAAGTGTTGAGATGCTTGATGTTCAGGCTTGAAGCGAAGTGGTCGCACACACTTTCCCGGGGATTTAGTTACAGGTAGCACTTAAATCAGCCAGGTGGGACATGTGCAGGCATAACTGTCAATATGTTAGCCAAAAAGAATTAGGTCTTGTGGGTTGAGGGGAGCTTTAACTGGAGATGATGTGTGGAGACACACATCAGAGCACATGCATACTCATTATAAGAAAATTAAGGAAAAAAAGAAAATTTAGAGGATACATAAAATTAGGCAGAAAAATATTTAGTGTTATCTCAATACATTTCACTCCAGTAATTTGTTCTCTTCAGCCTTATCTCATTCCAGAGTGAATTTCCCTTTAGCTTTTACAGAGCGACTATTCCAGAGATCACACGGAGACGGCCCCTTCCCTTTATCCTGAGGACCTGGTTTTGCTGGAGATAAGTGAGGAATTTGGAGCTTACAGACATCTCCTTTTCCCATTTTATCTGGTCCGACCCCTTGGTTGCTCCGTTTTCACCCTGTATTCTTATTTATCCCACCACTGGAGAGTCCACGATTAACATTTTGCCAGCCTTTAAAATACAGTATTTGCAACTTGCTGCTGTCATTTTTTAGTTCTGCCTTTTGGCACGTGTCTAGATAGCTAATCTGTAGCCTGGGCTGTGTTTTGTCTATAGCAATGGTTTTCAGCCTTGTTTCAGAGAAGACCCAAAGGTTGTGTGGAAGGAAGCTCAGTGTACGAATCAGGGAAAAGTAGAGCTTCTTTGTTTGAGGGAGGTTTTAGAGCCTGCTTTTATCCTTCCAACAACCTCGAAGGGCTTCTTCTGCACCATATCTAAGCACACTTTGGCAAATCCTGGACTTAACAGCTTCTTGCATTATACTGCGTTATCATCTAGTAGCAAGGAAGGGGGCTTAAACCTCCTTGTGCCGATCTGTAGGTATTTCTCGTGCACTTGCTAGATGCTGTCTCTCTACTACAGGGATGCAGAAAAAGCATATGGATCTACCCTCAAAGATATTATCATCTGGGGGCACCTGGGTGGCTCAGCCGGTTAAGCGTCTGCCTTCGGCTCAGGTCATGATCCTGGGTTCCTGGGATCGAGCCCCACATCAGGCTCCCTGCTCAGTGGGAAGCCTGCTTCTCCCTCTCCCTGCCTGTATGCTCTCTCTCTCAAATAAATAAAATATTTTAAAAAGATATTATCTGCTCAGTTGAAAAAAATAATAAAAAGATATTATCTGATCCATTTTCTTTCCAGCTCTAGTATACAGTTGTGGAGTTGGAGGACAGAGTCTTGTTTCCTTATATTTGTTATCTGTATCAACAAATCGGCCATCAGAATTCTGCATTTTATCCAACTGCAGAATCTGCAAAATGCCCAGAAATGGGCCAGCAGGGACATAAGTGGATGGGGTTAGCTGTCCTTTCATGACATCCTCTGGCATTTTCCCCTGGCTGTCTTCCTATCGGCACTTTATCCAGAGTCTCCACTCGGATTGTGTGCCTTCTGGGAGCCAGGGGGTAAGGAAAACGAGAAAGCTGGAGAGCGCCTCTTCCATTCCTCCTGTGGAGCTGAGTGGGGGATTTGGAGCTTACAGCAGCACTGGACTCTTCCTCCTGCAGTCTCTTTTCAATGGGGGCTGGAAGGAAGCGAATCCTGTGACACAGAGGCTGATTTCAATTCTGAACTGGGACGTGCCCCAGAGTCCAGCTGGATACTTCTCTCTCCAGCATGTGGCCAGGAGAGCACTAGGGCTTGCAGGAATTGCTCGCTTCTCTCTGGGGCTTCATTACTTGGGAGAATGAGGTACAGGTGTGCAGATTCCTCCAAATGAATGCACTGCTCCTGATAGAAGCCCCCACTCCCTTGGCCCTTCCCTTGACCAAAGGTTGCCTATGTTTGCTTTTGACCATTGATTGCTTTAGCTTCAGGCTCCAAGACTCTCTTACTCAGTGAAATTATTCTCGCTTGTTCCTTCCCCCTCTTCCAGCAGTTCAAGATGTATTTATTGGGCACCTTCTGTTTGCTGCTTACCTCTCCCTTCCATCTCTAATCTCCTAGGGGTCCTCGGTGTCTAGCTCCTTATTACATGTGGCCCATGGTATTTATTAATTGTCTTGTCTGATGGTCTTATCTAGCTTTCTGGAAAGTGCAGAGTACATCTTCTGCTCCACTCGGAGGCCTCAGAGACCCCAGGGCTGAATTCACCACATACTAGAACGCTAGAAATATCTGCAGGACTGGCTCCAACCCTTAGTGCCCACACAAGCAACAGTTGTCAGACTGGCAGGACTCCCTCAGACACAGGAAGACATAGACACCCTTGGCCCAGCCAGACTAATTATTTTGCTCTACTTTCGGCAGCTGAAACCAACAGCTTTCCCAACACATCTTACTAAACTGGATCACTGCACAAATCTGATTCCCCGCTTAATATTGGCTGATCGCTAACATATGTGTCACTGGTTTTGGTCCCAAAACTCCATTGTTGCTGCCATGTAGGTAGTTTCAACATGAGTGAGCAAGTAATCATTTTATGATCATCCAAGTCTGTGCACCAAGGGGCACAGCAACCAGTTGGGAGAATGAACAAACAAGCATTCATCAAGATAGTCAACATTAGACTAACATAGACTCAGGGCGGTAGGCTTGTGGTTTTTCATGATATCACAGCTGTGCGTTGGAGCTGTTGGCACCCACAAGAAATGTATGTTTATCAACTGTTTTCAGTTCACATAAGGTTGGGAGCAGAAGTTTTCAAGTTGTCCTTTGCAATGTATGTTTAGCTTTTCTCCTGGAGTTAATCTCAAACATTTCCCTTCCTAGAGACTCGTAAATGAACACACCAGATTTATATCTTCAGAATGAACACACACCACTCACCAAACGGAAACTTTTCCCTTTGAAATCTGGGTTCTCAGGAACATTGCTTTTCTGAATTACAGCATATCTTCTTATCCTGTGTATTTGGCACCTTGCAGTTGTATAGAATCATGGTCTCCTCCCTCAAAGAGCTACGTTCCCCTTGAAAGCTGACACACACATCTGTAAAATCATTAGCTAAAACCAGAAGGGGCCCATTGCCCGAAATGCTGTGGTACTACTGAGAATTCGAAGGAGATAGAACTTCAGCCCGGTGGCGTATCCTTGCTGACTTGCCTGGGAGAAGTAGACTTCCTGTTCATTGAGCTCCTATGTAGTAAACTTAGCCTCGTTTAATTGTAGCCATAAACTGTTCATTTCATTTTGATGTTGACAACAACCCTAGGAGGTAGTATTGTTCATCTCCATTTTTTACGGATGAAGAAACTGAGGCTCAAGCCGGGGAGAGGCAAAGCTGGGATTGGAACACAAGTCTCGCTGACTCAGAACATGCTTTAGCTGTCACCTCAGCTGAACAAGACAAGGCTGACAGGTCTGAATCAAATGCCAGCGGTTAATTCCAGAGAATTCAGCTAAGGGGGCAAAGAGTGAACAGGTGCCGCCTGGAATCCTAATAGAAGATATTAGGAATTCAGGCAAGGGGAGCCTGGGTGGCTCAGTCAATGGAGCATCTGACTCTTGATTTCAGCTCAGGTCATGATCTCAGGGTCGTAAGATGGGCCCCACGTCGGGCTCCGCACTCAGCGCAGAATCTGCTTGAGATTCTCTCTCTTCCTCTGCCCCTCTCCCCTCATCGTGCTTGCTCTCTAAAATAAATAAATAAATATTTTTTTAAAAAAGGAATTCAGGCAAGAAAACCACAGGATTGGGGGCCCAAGTTAAAAAAAAAATGTAGATACCAAGGGATAAGAAGCCAGGAAGTTTTGGTGTCAAACACAACCAAGGCTCCAGGAGTAAGGTGGGTCCCTAGGACTGAGCCAACATATTGTCTTTGCCTTAACTCATCCCTGTTACCCAGCTTAGCGATAACCCCTAGCACATTTGGCTGGGATATTTTAAAGTGGCGATCAGGATCCCGGGAAGAAATAGATACTCCACCTGAAAGGATTAACTGAAGAGAGTGGCGTGAAGGGTATATTTAAAGGATGTAGGCATGATTCAGGGCAACAGCAATGGATTGCAAAGCCGCTGACACAAAAGCTTTGGCTGCCTCTAGGCCCAAAGTGGAAAGAAAGAACGGTGATAGTGGAACTGGACACTGGACACTGGTCAGATCTGGAGCCAAGGAATAGTGGCTGCTCAACGAAGACTTGTAGAGAAATGTGGCCATTGTCCAAAATATGGCCAGGGAGGGAGGGCATGCGGGAAATAAACAACCTGTGCTCTTTCTCCTCCCGCTCTTTGATCTTCTGCCTGTGTCTCCCAGTGGCCAAAGACAACTGGGAGAGAGAGAGAAAGGGAGCCTAGGCGGCACCGTTCATAAAGTTCAGCCTCCCAAGGCACAGATCTGGGGAAGGTGGAGCGTGGATCTTCAGGGCAAACAAGAAGAGCCATTTCGTTTGGGAATAAAATGTTGACGACTTAGTAAGCTGTTCTCGGTGTCCCCAGCACAGCTAAAATTCATCACCTGAGCCTGAGCAGGTACAGACTGTAGCAGGTTTATTGCGAAGATAAGTTTCTTGACCATTCTTCTGTTCTTAGCATTCCATGAGTCCAGCAGTCTAGACTCATACTTTTGTATCAGACTATCTCATACCAACGTAATAACAATGAAACTGTATCAAAATCCTATGGAGCATTTTCTCAGTAAGAATTTGATAAAAGCTCATTTCCCCTAATGATTCAAAAAGTTGAGTTTCGAATGTGTGGCACGTTTCCCCCAAATTATGAAATATCCATGGTTGGCTTTAAAAAGTGCATGTGGCAGGGTCGGAGTCAACCTTTTATTGACCCGTCCAGATTTCTGGGCTTTCAGGTCATCTCTTTGCTCCGTAACCCAACACACACACCACTTTTGACAGATTTTAAAAGATCTGTTCCCCACGAAAAGGTAGACTCTAAGCTCAACTCTGGGAAACTCTTGAATTCTGATCAATCATGTGAATGATTGCTAATCCCCCCGGCAAAACAACTGTCTCAGTAGCAAGTATGGAGAAGAGGCGAAAGCATAGAGGTGGTGCTGTGGAAACTGCTTCTGCTCTGTTGACCAACAGCCAACATCCTTTCCTAGGCAGAGCCATATTTAAAAAAAAAGCCCCAGGCTTTTCCGATACAGACAGCCACACCAGGCTGCCCGGGTTCCGGTCTGTTCTGAGGAAGTCCCAAGGCCTGGCATGATTCCCTGATGGTAACCCTTCGGCTGCCAGCCAGCTAAGCCCTGTCTTAGTACATCTTTGTACCCCGGGAAGATGAAGTTGCACCACCCTGTGTATCCCATCTCTTTAGGCTTGGTCCCTTCGGTTTCAGCAGGGGTCTGATTAAAGCATCAATCCTTCAGGGAGGGGGCCCCCCTGGGTTGTCATCAGCTCCGTACACCTGAGCGTGGACGAAAGCTCTAAGAGCATAGTTCTCATAGGACAAGGAGCCAGCGATGGGCAGGACACTTGGTTTCTCTTCCTGTGGAGCTTGTCAGGGTAGGTCGGAGGCCTGCAGCTGATGTGATCCCTTCTTTTCTCTTGGAACAGGGCCACCCCGGACAGCCAGGGCCCAGGGGCCCACCTGGCCTGGATGGCTGTAATGGCACGCAAGGAGCTGTTGGATATCCGGGCCCTGATGGCTATCCTGGGCTTCTCGGACCACCCGTACGTTGCCGGATCTTTGTCCATTATCTCAAAAGGCATTCTTCGCCTTTCCCTGCTTTTATGGAGACCTCGTTAAGCATCTGCATCTAAAGAATACCAGTTGCGGGGGGCGTGCACATGCTCCACTCCTCAGAGGGTTTTTTTTTTTTTCTTTTGCAAACAAAACTTTTAGAGTTGGGAAGGTTGTGAAGAGCCTCTAGTACATTTCAGAGCAAAGTATATACTTGGGCTATTTGACATGTTCCCACATCAGATGACATTGGAAAATGCAGTACTTGGAAGGCTTACGTGGGATCATGGGAGCACTGACAATGACCCAAAGGGCTTGGCAGGCTTGGTCTAAACCAGTGATTCTTGGGGCGCCTGGGTGGCTCAGTTGGTTAAGAGACTGCCTTCAGCTCAGGTCATGATCCCGGAGTCCCAGGATCGAGTCCCGCATCGGGCTCCCTGTTCAGCAGGGAGTCTGCTTCTCCCTCTGACCCTACCCCCTCTTGGGCTCTCTCTCTCTCTCTCTCACTCTCTCTCTCTCAAATAAATAAATAAAATTTTTTTAAAAATTAAAAAAAAATAAACCAGTGATTCTTGACCAGGGGTGATTCCCCACCTCCAAGGAACATTTGACAGTTACTAGTGACAGTTTTGGTTGTCACCACTCAGGGTATGCTACTAGCACAAGATGGCTTTCCTCCGACATCAAGAAGTCATCTGTCCCAAAGTGTCCATAGTGAGAAAGAATTGAGAAATACTACTCTACACTGACATAGTTTGCCCCCATCCCCCCACAACCCACCCCCATAACCCTTGCTTCCAGGATTGGTAGAGCATTTTTTAGATCCTGCTCTCACCACTTTTATTTAATTCTATTCATCCAGGTAGGGCCCAGATATTTGGATCTGAAGGATCTCTAATATATACCATGCCCTTGCAAGGCTGCTTTTTACAAGCGACTGGAAAGAGAAAAATAACACATTCAAGCCCATTGTCAACCTTACTTGAAATAATCTAAGCTACTAAGGGTACTGAGGTGATAGATTTAGCTAGAAATCACACTATTAGATTCCATAGCTACATGAATTAATTGGCATTTTTTCAGTATGTCTTATTCCAGTGCTATCCCACATTCTTTTTCTTTGTTATAATTAGAGTATAATTGACATCTAACATCATATTAGTTTCAGGCGTACAACATAATGATCCGATATTTGTGTACATTGCAAAATGGTCACCACACTAAGTCTAGTTACCATCTGTCACCATACAGAGCGACGAATTTTTTTTCTTATGGTGAGAACCTTCAAGATCTCCTCTCTTAGCAACTTTCAGGTATGCAATAAAATATTATTTACCCTGGGGGCACCTGGCTGACTCAGTCAGTGGAGGATGCAACTCTTGATCTCGGGGTTGTAAGTTTGAGCCCCACATTAAGGTATAGAGATTACTTAATAATAAAATCTTTTAAAAATATATTATTGACTATAGTCACCATGCTGTACATGACATCCCCATGACTTCCTTATTTTGTCACTGGATATTTATACCTATTGATCCCCATCACACATTTCACCCATCCCCTTCCCAGCCACCCTCGCCCCCGCCAACCACCAGTCTGTTCTCTGTATCTGAAATTTGTTTTGTTTTGTGTGTTCATTTGTTTTGGTTTTGCTTTTGATTCCACATATCAGGGAAATCATACAGTATTTGTCTTTCTCTGCCTGGCTTATTTCACTTAGTGTAATGCCCTTGAGGTCTAGCCATGTTGTTGCAAATGGCAAGATTTCATTCTTTTTTATGGCTGAGTAGTATTCCACTGTGTGTGTGTGTGTGTGTGTGTGTGTGTGTGTGTGTGTGTGTGTGTCACATCTTCTTTATCCATTCATCCATCGACAGACACTTAGGTTATTTCCATACCGGGGTATTTATACCAAGAAAACAAAAACACTAATTCAAAAAGATATATGCCCCCTATATTCATTGAAGCATTAGTTAGTTAGTATTTTATTGGAAGAGTAACACCATTGGCTTCAGTGACCAAGTCGTGGGTGTGGGTATCCGCATAAGAAAGTGAGATAGACGAAGCACAAGCCTCAGATTGGCAAAGAGGACCTTGACATCTAAAGACCAAACCAATATGCAGCGGGGGTGGGGGTTGGAGAAGGACGTATTACCAACATAGTATGAGCTTGTTTGAGTCACAAAGGCCTCCCAACACTGCCATGGCAACAGAAGAGGAGAACAAATCACATCTGTGTTTAGAGAATGGAAACCCAGCAAAGTGAGGAAATGCTGCCCCCAAGAGGGAGAAAAGAAATCTTGAGGTAATAAACATCCTGACAGCCAAAAGGACAAGGGTAAAACCTAATCCTGTCCCTAAGCCTCCCCTTAAGCCTAAATAGGAGCTTGGGCATAGATTTTACTAAGCTGAACCCTTACTAACGCTGCTGAATCTTGAGTGGATATTCTGTCAAGCCTCTTTGATGAAAGGAGCGGCCATAAGTATAAGGGGAAACAGGAAGCGTCTGGAAAGAAGGTGCTTCGGGGACCCACTGTTCTTCTATCACACCTATGATCCTTGAGCTCGAGGAATCCATACTTCAGCCAACTCTTCAGTCCCCAAAGCTTAGTCCTACCTCCAATACTAATCCTGACTTCCCCTTAGATATAGGGACATTGACTTTCCCCAGGAGGACACACTTTAGCAGACATTAGGGAGACAGTAAAAAGTCTGGTTGGTAGTCAGGTTCGGCGTACTTTGAACTGTTCTCCATGTTAACAGTGAGACACACCAAGCCTCTTAGACAGGCAGGCGTTGAAGCTGAGATTTTGTGGCAGAATCACAGGATGGAGATGGTTTTGTAAATATCTCCTAACCCGGAGGGCCTCAGACTGGCCGATGTGACCCATGACTGAGGCTTGGTTTGATATTTTTAAAAGTTTGTGTAGAATGAGAGAAGAATACAAGACAGAGCCCAAATATGGCCCACAAAGTCTAAATTCTTTACTATCTGGCTCTTTACCGAAGTTCTCTAAGCTCTGTCCTAGCCAGAGGCCGTGTCAGGGACATACCTGTGAGGGGTGGAGCAGATGAGCGGTAGGCTTATGAACATGTGTGTTATATGTGGATGTTCAGATCAGTGTTCTGAACAGAGTCGAAGTCTCCTACTTTCTCATCCCTTTACAGACTCCTGACTGGGGAGATGGGGAAGCAGGCATATATCTTGAGACTCAGCACCTGTTTGGGGGATGTACTTTGCCCCTTAGCACAGCCATAGAACAAACCACATAGTTCCAGAATCTCACTGTTGTGTCCTCTGTGTGATCAGATCATACTGTTGACAAAATTCTCTCTGTGTGTGCGCATTTCTTCACAAGTGTTTCTTATTTTACTCAGGGGCTTCCTGGTCAGAAAGGCTTTAAAGGTGAACCTGTCCTCACCCAAGGTACTTTCAAAGGAATGAAGGTAAGAGCCCCTAAGGCGGACAGCTAAGTAGGCTGGCTATAAGTTGGGTTCCCCAGGATTGGGCCCCAGCTCCAATAAAACATTTCCAGAACTAGCATCTGTGTCTCTATTTAAGGAGCAGACCAAGCTAGATTTAAAAGGGATCCGGAGCTTTTTTTGTGATGGAAACACTGACAGAAATGTTTGCAACCGTACTGTCAAAGAGATTTGCTTTATAGGATCTAGACCAAAAATAGGAGACAGATCAGCAAACAAACAGTTTGCCTGGGTATCATTTTCTTTGACAAGCCAAGACATTTCCAGGAGGCAGATACCTTTTGTCTACCCTACAATCCTTGATGTCTGCATACCTTGGTATAAAGCCATGTTATGTCTCTGCCCATCTCGGCATGGCCACCGGCCCAAGATGATGGCCCCGCCCTTTCCTGTACCTGCACACCAGCCCATTACCCTCGCAGGGCCCCTGGCTGTCTGCAAAAATTGCCCATCAACTCTGCAGCTGGCTGGAAACTTTCATCTCTTCCTAGAATTGACAAGAACCTTCTGTATTCTTGTGACTGTACTCTTGGTGTATGCTAACCTGGAAATTCTGGTGCCCAAATGATTGACTCTATTCCCTTGCAGAGTGGGAGGTGAGCTCATCGTCCCCCTGGTAGCCGATGGCTTCATGTTGCTTATTTTACAGATAGAAAAACTGAGGTACACTGAGGCTATGTGCCTTGCTCAGACTCACATAGCCGGTTTACCGAAGAGCTAAAACCCAGGCAGTGCTCTTCCCGTGCTGCAGAGAGCTGATTTTTTTTGACCAAACGGGGTTAGACTAGCAGGTGTCAAAGTATAGCCATTGTCATAGCAAACATTGATGAAACGGCTTTGCCAAAAATCACGGAGACCCTGGACCCAGTGGAACACAGCAATTTCCACAAGATGGTTATATTACAGATTCATACAGTGACTTAAGATGCTGCAAAGTAATTAAAACGTAATCAGAGACTGTATGCTCTGTTGATTCTCCCTTGAAATGTCTGATTTGCATTGTATTCATAAGGGCACAGATTCTCTGGGGATGAAGGCACACGGGAAGGTAGCTTCGCTTTCTTCCAAAAAGAGCAGGAGAATCACCAGCCCACAGAAGCAGTTTCTAATTGATGAGTTCCTAGCAAAGGTGAAAATTAATTACTCCAAGTAAAATATGAAATCCCGTTCAACCAAGGCTATAATATGTGTCTTCTAGAGTCCAGATTTTTCATAGGAAAAAAAAAAGTAAGTGGTTGAATAGGCCCAATTCATGCATTATTTAAAACACAAGACCTTGACAGAGGAGGCCCGAGCATCAGCAATGCGTTTTTCTGCCCGTAAAGCATAGGTCCGTTATCTATGAAATAATAGTGCAGGCTTAATTAATCTCTCCCGTGTCCTGCCTTTGTCTGTTTCTCAGGGGGAGCCTGGGCTGCCTGGACTGGATGGAATAACTGTAAGTTGTCATTTCTGGGTGGAGCGCCCAATGTTTGGTTGGCAGTCGCTGCGGGTCCTTTTGCATTCCTCCTCGCTACGGCGTTCGAAGGTCTTTGTAGACTTTCTCAAGGAAAATCCGGACAGTTGAGGTAGAGCGGGTCACACTGTTGATATTTTCCGGGTGAGAAAGTTCTGAGAGGGTCGGCTGTCCCCCTCAAGTTGCACAGGAGGTAGCCTTTCGGACCCTTAGGCCAGGGACCTTCCTACTCCCTGCGATGCATTCGGAAAGAATTTCGCCTTTCATTCGGCAAGTGTCTACTAACTGTTCTCTGTGTGTTCAGAATGCTGCGGGTTAAAACAAAAAAGAACACTTTTCTGTGAAAGCTGTTCTGTCTAGAAATTCCTCTGAGGGACTCCTAATATTTGGGAGTCCGTGCAAGGCCGTGAGTTGTATTAATAAAAACTTTCTGGGGCACCTGGGTGGGTGAGTCCGTGAAGCGTCTGCCTTCGGCTCAGGTCATGATCCCAGAGTCCTGGGATCGAACCCTGCATCGGGCTCCCTGCTCCGCGGGGAGTCTGCTTCTCCCTCTCCCTCTGCTCCCCCGCGCTTGTTCTCTCTCTCTCTCAAATAAAAAAATAAAATCTTTAAAAAAGTAAGAACTTTCTATTTCCTTGGGTTGCCACTTCGTTGTTGCTTTCCTTTAAAGTGGCTTCGGAAAAGCCCCTTCTTTCTTCCTTCTTTCCTATGTCAGGGTTCCTGCCTTTCATCTTTCGTTCCAGAACCACTATTGAGCTCCTACTAGACGCAAGGTGCTATGAGTGATCCCCGAGACAGTGTAGTCAGGGTCTCTGCCCACCCCATACCCCAACACACACACCCCAAGATGTGAAAAACTAGTAGGACTGTGGCATACGAATTCCTCACCAACTTGGAGGAAGAGATGCTGTCCACCTAAAGCTACATCATGGGAGACTTTATATCTAAGATGGAGAAGGTAACCTCTGAGAACTGCGGGTGATGTTTGGGCTGGCCCGCAATGGGAGGAAGCTTTCTAAACAGAGAGAGCCATGTGGGAAGAGGTAGGCAAGAAACAGGATGCGTGCAAGCATGCACGCAAACAGAGGTGAGTGAAGACCAAGGGCATAAGGGTCCCCTTCACCAGGCAACACTGGCTTAGTTGGTGTGTTAACTACATTTGCAGAATCACACCCACGTTGTTGGCTGCCTAGCTTCTCCTAGGGAGTCATTGCTCTGCCCACAAAGGTACAAGTGTTCATCGACAGTATTCGCAGCCATGACAAAAAAAATCATTTAGATCGGGGGAGGATGGTTTGGTGGCTGAATAAGAGATTTGTGATCAGTAAGGGGACCCCAGGTTATTTTGTCAAAGCAGGGTTCTGTTTCCTGGGGACCCTCTGAACCCCTACTTTCTTGTGACTTTGCTTAGCCTCTCCATCCCTTACCTATCACCTCATTACTGTCCCCCCATTTTCATTGGGCCATCCCTTTCCCCATAACCATCTTTCTTTTCAGATTTTATTGTCTTGCTTGTAATACTGTCCTTAGCAATTCAGTTTCAAATAGTTTCTCATTCTTCTTCTGCGTTTCTCTTTGACCCACGGAAATGTGCGTTGTTTAATTTCCCGATATTTGGCAGCTGCCCAGCCATCTTTATGTGGTTGGTTTCTACTTTGAACTCAGTGCAGTGTGGGTGAACACTCTGTAGGGTTTCAAACCTTTTAAATCTGTTGAGGTTTGTTTCATGGCTCAGCATACGAAACGGTCTCGGTGAATGTGCCGTATGCTCTTAAAGAGAATATGTTTTCAGCTGCTTTGGGGTATAGTGATCTAAAAAATGTCCATCGGGTCAAGGTAAGTTGACAGTGTTGTTTAGATCTTTGTGTCTTTACTGATTTTTTAAAAAATCTAGTTGTTCTCTTAATTACTGAGGGAGGGATGTTAAAATTCTCCAACTCTAGTTGTGGATTTGTTTATTTCTCCTTGCCATTCTGTTTTGTGTATTTTGAAGCTACGCTATTAGATGCATATACATCTAAGACTGTTATGTGTTCTTGATGAATTGATTTAGTTTATCATGACAAAATGCCCCCTCTTCATCTCTAGTAATATTCTTTGTCCCAGAGTCTTCTTTATTTGATGTTAATATGTTTTACTTTCTGTTGAAGTTTTTGTTTTTTATATCACTTTAATATAAAAAAATTTCAAATATTAGAGCAAAGGGGAATGAATTTTGCTGTGAACACCTATACCATTAATATTTTACTATGCTTGCTTTATCCCACTTCTATCCATCTATCCATCTCTATCCATCCATCAATCCATCTTATCGTTGATGCATTTTGAAGTAAACTGCAGACAGTAGTACTCTTACCTCTAAATACTACAGCATGTCTATCATTAGCTAGACTTCAATATGTCTTTGCAGTTTTTCTTTTAATGTAAAAATTACGTGCAATGAAATAAACAAATCTTAAATGGAACATTTCCTGAGTTTTGACAAAGACATACTCCTATGTAACCCAAACCCATCTTAAGGTATAGAACATTCTCATCACCTCAGAAATTTCCCTTCTGCCCCTTCCCAGTCAATCCCTGCCCCCACCCAAAGGAAACCACTGTGCAGATTTCTCGCCATCATAGTTCAGTTTTTCCCATTCTAGAACTTTTTATAAAGGAAATAATATAATATGTAGCCTTTGGGGGTCTGGCTTCTTTCACTTAGCACAATGCTTTCAGGATTCATCCACATTATAACTTATCAGTAGGTTGTTACTTTTTATTGTTCAGTATTTATTCCACTGTGTAGATGTATCAGTTATTTATCAGTCCTTGTATCAGTGGACACCTGGGAAATTTCCAATTGTTTGCTACTATGAATAAAGTTGCTATGAACATTCTTTTGCCCCTCTTGCAGACGTGTATTTCCAATTTTCTTGAGAAACTCTTTTTTTCTGACCTTCGTAAAAACTTGCCTCTCTAGGGCCCACCAGGAGCACCCGGGTCCCCAGGAGCTGTAGGACTCATGGGGCCACCAGGATTGCAAGTAAGACCGACCTAAATCGACCACATGATCACAGTATTCCCATGAATCCTTTCCCAGCAGGGCCACCGATTAAATATAAGCCTGTGTAGGCTCTCCTAGTGGAAAAAGGCAACCTCCATTCTTGGAGGAGTCAAGTGAAGCCTGCTCTTATAAGGAGCTGATTGTTGTCTTTATCAGAGTCTTTCTGACTCTGTGCTCAGGGATGGCAGCGCCTGGCACACCTATTTCCACCTTCTACCCCCCTCGCCCATGACGGACCCTGCTAATTAATCACACCTTCACCATGATCACCCACCCTGAACACAGAAGCAACTTCGAAATCCTCCACACTCCACCTTGGACAGGGCTACCTACCTACCTGTCTTTTGGATACCAAACGTATTTGCCCTCACCGGTATGGAAAGAACATAGTCAGTTATCCCCACGTGGTTCTGCGAAAGGCGCCTTTCCAGAATGTTCTCTCTCTGGTGCATGAAATCTCACCACTGATTACTTTGGTTTAGCTTTCCCCAGGGCCAGTATTTTTTAAATGTGTAGCCTTTTGGGAGGAATGATGCATGAATCTTTACCACCTTAGCATGAACGTGGTTATCAGGTCAATTGGGGAGATTTCAAAGGAGATTTAAAAAACGGGGTGGGGCACCATGGGAGAGGGAGCTAGAATCTGCAGTGCTAAAGCCAGAATATACTGAGGGGTTGGGAGACTCATCTCCAGGGACTCTCCACACGCCCAGGTTCTTTTTGTCTGAAACTAACAAGTGCATGTTCCTTTCATTTTTAATACAGGGTCCTCCAGGCCCCCCCGGCTTCCCTGGTCCTGATGTAAGTATACTCTGTCTTAGGGCACTTGGCCTCCTACCACTAAGTGTTCTAGTTTCCCCAGAGAGACTCTGGTTTGGTTAAACACACTTCCTGGTAAAATACTGCATTCCAATTTAAGTTCCTGGAGCTTGCTTAGTAATTGATTTTGTTTTTCCTCCCTGCAACCCTGTGCCCCAGGGGAATATGGGGTTAGGTTTCCAAGGAGAGAAAGGAGTCAAGGTAAATAGATTTTGGAAAATACAATCTGCCTTCCATGTGCTCCCAGCACCATCTCTGGCTGCACACCTGTGCTTGCTCATTTTAAGGGCACTTGGATCTTTGCCTTGGGAAATGAGCACTTCCCACTCCACGTGGGTCATGTGGTGGGATCCCTGGAAGGGCTGCGTGTACACACGCCACACGTCGGCTCCTGAGGTCTTTTTCCTTCCAAATACTGTATGTAGTCTCCCTGCTTCTGACCTGTGAAATGTGCGTGTCTTACCAACATACTCTGTTGAAATCAATTCCCTCCTCCTCCCACCTGGGTATTTCCCTGATGTTCTGTATATTGTGTCACCTTTTCTTTCCTCTCCTTTGCTTCTCCTCTTCCCTCTGTCCTTCCTCTTCTGCCTCCTCCTCCTTCTCCTCTCTCCTCCTCAACCTCTCACCATTCTCTTTTACTTCCCTTCCCTCGTTCCCCTGTTTCCATCTGCACAAACCGTACAGTGATTTTGGGAGGCTCGAGGAAGCCTGGGAGCTTGCCCTCTCCACCCTGCACGGCTGCATTTTGTAGATCGCACTGCCTCCAAGGAGCAAATCCAACCTCCGGTGTTCCAACACAGACATCACTGCCTCTGCCTTTGCTCTTGGCAAGGACTGGGCCAATCAGAGTCTGATCGCCATTGCCAAGAAGTGGCCATTCTCCTTGCTCAAAAGCCTTTTTTGCTCTCTTCTCAACACCCTTTGATGCATGACCCTGGCAACCGCGAACCTGTGGTTTCCTTTCACCAATCTTGCTTTTTCCCTCTGCAGTGCTGGTACAAAATGCATTTGGCCAGGCTTATAACTCTTCCCAGCCCCTTGGTACCGAGAGTTTTGCTTCCTCGCTGAGGCAAGGGTGAGGGTAAAGAGGCCAAAGGAATGGACAGTTTATTTGTGAATGACATCCAGAGGACAAGCCTTTCTGCTTTGCTTAACATTCCCTTTGATCTTACAGGGAGATGTTGGCCTCCCAGGCCCTGCAGGACCCCCACCATCTACCGGGGAGCTGGAATTTATGGGATTTCCCAAAGGGAAGAAAGGATCCAAGGTAGTGAACATTTAAGCCTAGGAAATGCTAACCACCCTTTTCCTATTAATACCAAAGTTCAACTCTAATAACCAGACTCTCCTGGAAAGATAGAGGGTTCTGGATCATGCTTTTTTGTTTGGAAGTGAGGGTAAAACCTTCTTTGTGCTGTCCCCTCTGAAAAACTTCTAAAAAGTCTCTGTTTGGGTGCGTGGATAAGAGTGTGCCTGGGCTTCTGGGCATTTGTCCTATTTTCTGTGTTTTGGTTTTTCAAATTCAATTATCAAGATCCTGAATAACTTAAAACAAGTATTAAGTAGTTGGGTTTTTTCCCTCCTAACTTATTCCCTCTCAATACCTATGTTGTCCCCAAAGCACTTTGTGACAGAACACATATGGTATACATGGTTGCTTTTAAGTTATCTTTTTATTTTTTTTTAAGATTTTATTTATTTATTTGACAGAGAGAGACACAGCAAGAGAGGGAACACAAGCAGGGGGAGTGGGAGAAGGAGAAGCAGGCTTGCCGCAGAGCAGGGAGCCCGATGCGGGGCTCGAGCCCAGAACCCTAGGATCATGACCTGAGCCCAAGGCAGATGCTTAACGACTGAGCCACCCAGGCACCCCTAAGTTATCTTTTTAAAGAAGTTATTTGCCCTCAAAATTTGACCCTACAAAAGGGCATACTGTCACCAAGTGGCAGTAGATGCCCTGATTCACCTGATATGAACTACCGTGGCTGAAGCTGTAGACCTGTTTAACTGAGATATGTTACATTCTCTGTTTCAATGTGAGTGAGTGTACACCTGGTAATACTCGAATGCCTGTATGCTGTTAAGGTGGGTAGATATCTTTAGTAACCTGCATTCCCTTCCTTTCTAGGGTTCCCTTAAGTGTTGTGATTCTGTGCCTATGGTCAAGGGACCCAGGCGGGGGAAGGTGTTTACTCCCATTTCTTCAATTTTGTCTTTGTGGAAGCAACAGCTCCAGGCCCTCTTCAGGTTTACAGAAAGCAATCATTAATTTGGGAACAGTTTGGGAGCATATGAAAGATTGCCTGCCTCCTTGATCATTCCCAAACCTTAGGGAGCCCTTCCATGGCACAACTAGGTAAATTAGCATATCAGAGAAGGACAGATTACAGTGTTATGGGTCCCCATCCAAACTGTAATTGTTACTCTTTTCCCTAAACTGTTGATTTCTTTGCAGCCTGGAATTTGCAACAGGAAATCACACTGAATGGCTTCTTCCCCTAGAAAGACAGCAGATGATCATCTTTTCTGTCTCCCAATTAGCTTCAACATTTGAGATTCTGTTTTAGACAGTTTTCATTCCCTGCCATGGGCCTTGGTCCTTCCTATACCACAAGGGCTCCCCAAACTGATATCTTGGTGCAGGTATTAGTTGGGGCTCCTGGGGAATTTATACCACAGGATACCCCCTTGGTTGCCCACTGCCCAGCCCAAGCAGCTCACAGGAGCCATATCCTCTATGTTTACTGTTTCCTGCTGCTACTCACTAATTTTTGGCTCATTTTCCAGGGTGAACCAGGGCTTCCGGGTTTCCCAGGAATAAGTGGCCCTCCAGGTCTCCCGGTAAGTCTCCCTGTTGGGTCAACATGTATTCAAGGACCTGCTGGGACAAAAGCTATAGCAATAGAAGACTAACAGGAAGACCTCTTCCTGTGGTTATTGGAGAGCATTCTACCAATCTTCATTACTGGAAAACATTTAAGGAAATGTTCATATTTCTCGAACCCATGGGGATATTAGCATGGCTCTTCATGAGGCTATATATCTTAGCAGTTAGTAGCTCAAGTTCTAGAATTAAAACAGACCTAGGCTTGACTTCTGATTTCACTGATTTCTAGCTATGTGACCTTGGACAAGTTTCTTAAGCTTCCTGAGTTCCAGTTTCCCTCCCAAAAGGGGGGGTGATAATGGCATGGTTATGAGGATTAAATGAGATAATATGAATGGAAAGGACTTCGTACGTGCCTGGCATGTATCAGTTGTTCAGTAAATGGTAGTTAATCTTAGTAATCCTATCTTCACTCTCCTATCTGCCCTTGTATCTTAGCGTCTTTCACTCAACATACACATTTTGAGGGTGCCTAGGTGCCAGGCATTCTGCTGGACAACAGTAAATAACAGTCAAAGAAGTAAAAGTTCTTGTCCTTGAGGAGAGTTCATTCTAATGGGGGAGTGAGGGAAGGAGACAAAAACAAGTAAACAAATGAATCAAGAACAAGTTCTTATCATAATAAGTGATACATAGAAGGTTAAAGAAAGGGTAAAGTGATGGAGTGTGGCGTGAGAATAGGGTGGGCTACTTTGGGCAGAGCGGTCATGAAGGGCCTCTCTGAGGAAGTGCACATTATGAAGAAGCAAGTCCCACGAGGATCAGGAAGAGCGTTTTTGGCCGAAGGAAACGCTGAAGCAAATAACAGACTTATTTCAACATAAAAGACTTCAGTATTTCTAAGAGATAAGAACTTTTTAAAAACATAGTTACGGGGCACCTGGGTGACTCAGTTAAGCGTCTGACTCTTGGTTTCAGCTCAGGGTCGCAATCTTAGGGTCGTGAGATTGAGCCCCATCCAGGCTCCCCTGTGGCCTCACTCCCCCTTTTCCCAGTTCGAGAAACTGCCCTAGTTGTGCAGGTGGGTCTATGGCTCGGCTGGGGCCATGGGGAGCCTGCTTGGGGTGGGTGGGGGGAGAAGCTTGAGCGGAGGGTGGCTGCAAGGTGGCCTGCCTCTCGGACGAGCATGCCTCTGAGGACTGGGCCACGGGGCTGACACCCCCTAGCTCCAGCCTAGTTTTCGAGGCTCGCCTGCTCCTCGTACCACCCACCTCACCCCTGTCTCAGTGACTATGTTACCTCCCCCAGCTTACTCCTGGCCACGTGACTGAAGTTGAGTTTTTGCAGAACTACTAATATCCTTGAACCAAAAATAGCAGGAGACCAGGGCCCTAGCCAGTAGGCCTAGGAACGACTGAGCTAGTGCTCTAAGCATGAGAGAGTTCCTGGATATGCTTCACCTTTTGCTTTGTTCTCTGAGTCATTCTATTGAATTCAACAAGGATGTATGGGATGACCTTGTATGGTGTAGCGTGCAGTAGCGTGTCTTGGAGGCAATGGAAGAGAGTGTGGTATAGACCTCCTGCTTACCAACTCTCCTACATGACCCATCTTAGTGCTGTTCAGAGTCTAGGGCAGTGCGGGCTGCCACAGCTTCCGTGGACAGGTCACGGTGCTTGGCTTCGGAGGCCCGGAGACGTGTTCCACCGGGCAGCAGCATGCCTTGGTTTCCAATTTGAGATGCAGCACTACGATTTCAAATAAGTTTGTGTTCAACTTGACCCTTTCAAATAGAAATCCTATTCAGCATGAGGTCTGAGCCATGTGCCACAGAACTAGAGATGGAGAAGAAAAGAAAGACAAGCGGGAACCAAAGTCAGCTTTGAACTAGACCCTTCACAGACGCACACTCCACCCTCCACCCCACACAAAAAAAGCCACACACACAAAAAAGCCCTACATTAAAAACAATAACAACAACCAAAAAACCCCACTTGGGCCTAGAAAGCTAAGGGCTATTCAGCCAGCTTTCAGTACCCATGGGAATGCTCTGAGTATATAAGAGGAAGAGATGACAGGAGACATGCCACAACATTTACTGTGTTTCACAAGCTTACATTCAAGAAAGCGTCCCTGCCTCCTTCACTCTTACAATAGGCCTAAATGTTGTTTGCCAAAACCTATGCTCCAGAAATTCCACATTTAAACAATAACAACAAAATGGCCATGAAAGACGTTATCCACTTTGGTAGTGAACTCTTCTGTACTTCAAGGGCCCAGAATGTGCTTGCCTTGGACCCAGAGGGAAGGAAACTTTCTCACTCACTGTTTTTTGAATTTCTGCTTGTCCCTAGAGAGTCCCCAAGTCATGTCCATGGCTGCAAGCCCTCACCTCCTTTGATCAGGGCAAGAGGGGTTGAAGACCGTCTCATAGTGCCCTTTGGAGTACTGCTAGGGCCCGCAGGGGTCTAGATCACACCTAGATAGAAATAATCCTTCCCATCGAAGAGGATGATGCAGCCATCATGGCTTCAAATGGCAAAAGTTCTTCCCACCAGTATTGACTCCCAAGGATTAACACAGTTCTCCATTTATGGGTCAAAGAAACAAGCTCGTAGGTGGTAGAAAACAGCCTGTTTCTCATACAAAGGGTCCTGGAATGGAAGTTTGAAGACCTGGCTGGCTCATCCATTCTGTAACCCATACAAGGTGCTGTACTGTTCTGAGTATTAGTCTCGCCATCTGTCAAACCAATGAAGTCAGATATCTAATCATTTCTATGCTGTTAGTCCATGTAGCTGTGAAGACATGCAATCATGTCCAGGGGGACAAGACATTACTTCTAAAACCAAGAGGGAACCTTGAATGAATGGTCCAAACTCTTCAAAGGCCCTATGGGCTTCTCAGGCAGTGACAAGAGACTCAGCATGGTGAGCCTCCCCAATGGCAATGGCAATGGCAATGGCCTTGATTCGAAGTTAGCTCCCTACTTTGGATGGAGCCAGGAGACCTATCAGGAAATGGATGTTATAACTTGTGGTTTCTTTTTTTTTTTTTTTTTTTTCCTCTAGGGATTTGGAACTGCTGGAGAAAAGGGAGAAAAGGGAATCCCTGGTTTGCCAGGACCTAGGGTATGAACCTGGAATGTTGCTTGCCCGGGTCTGTCAGGTTATCCGGTCCATCGGGTCCATTTTTTTGGCCTGTTCGCATCTTTATGTTGTATAACTTGATGGCCACCGAAGCTTCTCTTATTTTTCTTCCTCGGCCCTCTGCCAGGTCCCTGAGACCTCCTCCTTTTCACTTTGCCCCCATTTTCTTGACTTAGTGGCTCCCTTGAATAAGGAATGGCTCCTCAGCCAACTTCTTTTCCTTGTTGTCATAGAGAATTGTCATCTGGGCTAATAATGGGGTGAGCGTTGTCTTGCCTTCACTACCTTCTAACCTGGGGGAACGTGGGCTAGGGTGCAGATGTTGTAGTAATGGAAGCGGGCCAAGTATAATCTTTATAGGACAGAAACAAGTCTGGGATGGTCTAGAACATAGCAAATGACATTTGCAGTCAACAATTTCTAGTAATAACCCCTCTTCAAGTGGAGAAATAATTGTTAGCTTTTGTTATTCTAAGTGCTTCAGGCACTTAGGTGTTAGGCTATAAGCAATTGGCCAACCTTAGCCTTAAAGAGGTAACATTTAGAGAACTGTGATTTTGGCTTAGTCATAAAGCTCGTTAAGAATCCTTTGAGTGTTCAGCAATGTTTGCCCTTTACCCTGCCATTTATTTCTCTACTTTTCTCTACTCCCTTGTCTTGAAAAGACATAATCGCCAGCAAAGAATGCAGTGGGGGTGAGAGACAAGAGGCCCTCCCACAATCTATTTAAAAATGTCATGACTTGGAACTAATGCAGACTAAGTATTATACCACCCAGCCTTTCTACCAAATTCCACCCAGTACTTAAAATGTTTCCATTTATTTTGCTCTTTAAAAATGCTCTGTGTGACTATTCAGCCTGATGGATTAGTGCTTAGAAAAAAAGTCATTAAGCCAGGTCTAGGGACATTCTCTTACCTGATTTTAGGAACTGGCTAAGTCCTGAACTCAGTGGGAAAGCTTTGTTACGTAAGTCTATTGGCTTTTTCTAGTGTGGGCTATTAATCTTTCTAAGGTGGCTCCATTCTCTTTACAGGGTCCAATGGGTTTAGAAGGACGCCAAGGCCCTCCAGGGAGTCAGGTATTTTGGTTAATATCACTAAAAGCCCGCATGTAAAGTCCTAATCAAAAGGCCCCCTTGCTTTAGTTAACATGGCCACCGGTCCAGAGGGAGCCACTGCTTATAATACAAATTGTCTACCTCCTTTTGATGGGTATAATCTCAGCCGCTCTCTTTTTTTGTCTGAGTATTCAGGGTTGACCAATCCAGTGCCGTGCTATGGCCCTACTTCTTTATTTTGTAATCAGGGGCTAGAGAGGCCAGCCTGCTTGCCACCCCTAGCCTTGGGGCCCATATACCTCCTAACAGGCGCGTTGGCTACCTCATGCCATATTGCCTTCTGGAACATTGTATACCCTCCCAAGTGGGGTAGAATCCATGCATACCCTGGAAGGCCAGCCAAGATCCCTGTGCCATTTGCCCTGGCCTCATCCAAAGACCAGTCCCTCCTATGTTCTTAGACATTTGACTAGTTGTAACTGTGTTTCTGTCACAGGGCAAGAAGGGGTCCTCAGGTTTCCCTGGGCTTAATGGATTCCCAGGAATTAAGGTAATGTTGCTGGGAAGTGAAAATCCAGGATTGGGGTGGTGGAAGGGTGAAGAATTCCCATAAATGCGCTTTAGTCCATTTGGCCACTCTAAGAAACTATCACACACGGGGTGGCTTATAAAAAAAAAAAATAGAAAATTATTCCTCACAGTCCTGGAGGCCGGAAGCCCGAGATCAGGATGCCAGCATGAGTGAGGGTCCCCTTGCAGGTCACTTACTTCTCACTGTGTCTTCACATGGTGGAAGGGGCAAGCTAGCTCTCTTGGCCTCCTCTTATAAGGGCGCTAGTCCCAATCGTGGGGGCTCCGCACTCATGACCTGATCCCCTCCCAAAGGCCCTACCTCCTAGCACCGTCTCTTCGGGCATTCGGTTTTCAGAATGAATCGGGGGCAGGGGGGACGCAAACACCTGGACCATAGTGAATGCCTACCTATGAGATGAAGTATTCTTTCGCTATTTTAACATTGTAAATGTTACTCTTTTCACATGAAGTGCATGAACCCTACTTTCAGCACACAAAGCCAATGAGCCTTCCTTAGATACTACTTGATCAGAGGTAGACTAAAGTCGGGGAGGTAGGGGGGAGGGCTGCAGGAGCAAATCCATCTCTCCAAGGAGGAATATTCTACTATTGACCCTGCTTAGAATTGCCAAATTTTTGGTTTTAAGATTTTTTTAAGATTTTATTTATTTATTTGACAGAGAGAGACACAGCGAGAGAGGGAGCACAAGCAGGGGGAGTGGGAGAGGGAGAAGCCGGCTCCCCGCTGAGCAGGGAGTCCGATGTGGGGCTCGATCCCAGGACCCCGGGACCCTGACCTGAGCCGAAGGCAAACGCTTAACCGACTGAGCCACCCAGGCGCCCCAGTTTTATGATTGTTTTTAAGTTGTCTACAGAGAATGCATCCCCTTATCACCTGTTCTGGGGGCAGGCAGCTCCCACCACCCCACTGGGATAAGCCACTGTATCTGATTCTGATACCTGAATCCCCCTTTTGGGGGACTTAGGACTCCTTTGACTTCCTCTGCCTGAAATCATCCACTAATGAGGCCAGTGAAGGTAGCAGAGTCCTGGGCCCGCTTACAGTGGGAAAAAAAAGTTGAAACTGCCCCTTCCTTTGCACCTCTTTGGTGCAGCAACATTGTCTACTCTTGGGATCTATGTCCCAGGCCCAGAAGCAGATGATCCAGGAATCAGGTTGCAAAATAAAATTGGGATCCCTTATTTTTGACAGGTTTGCAAATTGAGCGTCGGACTCCTGACATGCTTTGCGTTACCTTCATCTGAAATTTATTGGACTTCATAATTAACCTGTGCACTAGTTGGCCCTGGGAATCAGGGGTTGCAGAAGGAGAAAGCTTTCATTTTCCCAGGGAATGGCTTTGAGGGCACATAGAGCTTGAGTGATAAGGTCATGGGAATGTTTGTGTTTAACCAGTTGAATCTTTACAGGGTGAAAAGGGTGGCATTGGCCTGCCAGGCCCAGATGTTTTCATCGATACAGATGGCGCTGTGATCTCAGGTGCAACTTTTCATTGACTGGAGTGAAAAAGAAAGGACCGGGGGTGACATTCTAGAGTCCCTATAATTGTTAAGAGGATACTTTGTCAGCCACTGGATTGTTGCTGAACCCAGCGCCCTCAAGGGCTCCTCATGGGTCCTGTACTTGGGGAATGAAGCTAACTCCAATGTCTTCGGGCAAAGAAGCCAAGGCCTACACTCCGTGTTTGTGTTAGGTCCACCAAGACTAGGGTTTTGGTCGGACTGGGCCTGGACTTGCTGAAAGTTGTTCTCCTAATGATGCTTAGGGCAGGATTGATATCCTCCCCAGCTAGGCTGACTTTAGCCTGATACTGTGGGACACTTGGGGTCTCATATGCATGATCCCATGTGTGTTGGGGTTTGACAATCGCATAGGAGGTGGGAAAGTATCCACCTGTTCCCATTGCCTTCTCCAGTGTGTCTCCAGTGACTGCTTGCTTGAGCAAAGGTTTCTACTACTGTACCTCTTCTGCCTCGGTCTCTGAAATTACTTCTCCCCTCTCATCCTCTCTGGCCCACGCCCTGTCCAGTAAACTCATTGAAGCCAGGATGTTAATGATTGACAGTGGCTTCCTGGAAACCTATGGGCATAACATGAGTAGTAGACTTCGACACCTTAATCCCAAATGGTAGATACTTGAGGCATGACAGCAGGTTAACAGTAGTAGAAGAACCTTCCTAGTACTTACCAGATCTTACCATGGAATGTTAGCCCTGGCCAGACCGGTTCTGAACACTAGTGGGGCCTTAGCTCCAGTCAGCCCGTGATCACACGGGGCCATCAGCATCTGGGAGACCTGTGAAGGGCAAGAAAGAGACTTCTACCCTGAGGACATCTCCTTGCAACCCTTCTTAGGCATTCTGTGGCATTTGTAGGCCTCTTCTGGGTTTGCTTACTGCTTTTTTTTTTTCATCGCAATGCCAGGTTATCCTGGAGACCCCGGGATGCCAGGCCTCCCAGGACTTAAAGGAGACGAAGGTATCCAGGGCCTGCCTGGCCCTTCTGGCATCCCTGGCTTACTGGCTTTACCAGGTGAAACAAACTAACCCACTCCCTACATAGACATGCTGGTGCCCAGCATCCCCTTCTATACCCCTGTCTGGTCTGGGTACATACCTAGCCAAAGTCAAAGGAAAGGTAGACTATAGTCACTAAGTCCCCCACCACCAGCCCAAGGCTAATGCATATGAGGATAGGACCTGGGCAAGCAGCTTTCCTTTGGCCTGAATGATGTGGTGTTGCTAGACAGGCAATCCTTTTGGGGTTTGCAGCAACTAGAGGGGGCTGGCGTTGGACTGCTGGAGCCCTATCACTCTTCTATGGGTTTGCCATCCCAGCTGATGCTTGCCAGCAGGGGCTTACGGAAGCCTAGAGGAGAGTTTTGTACCCGGACCCTCACTCTCTGCTTACCTCAGGCACTAAATGGCCCAGGAGCCCATGACTGAACCCACCATTGGAGGAGCACACCCATTTGTCATTCTGTAGTAGTGAATAGAGAAAGGCCATGCCAGATTCTCAGAGGCCGTGATGAGCCAAATATAAAGCTTCAGACAGGACTTTGAAAGGCATAAGTTTCTAAGTTCCTTGGAGATGGGCATCTGGATGGATCCCTGTGCTTTGAAAGCAACCACTTGGAAGGGGTACAGCTGATCCCACCACCGAGGTTGAAAAATCAAAAAGGAGGAGACTGGACACCAGGTTTTCTGCTCAGGTTCTCCACCAAAAAGCTCTGCACCCTTGACCATGTTTCCCCATGTCCTTTGGCCTCAACTTCCTAGGAGGTTGGGCTAGATGATTCCTAAGGACCTTTCTAACTCTGATGCAAGAGAAGGGCAAATTGTCTCCCAAATTCTTCCCTTGGAGGGAGTTTCCAGCATATGCCGCTGATTGGAACACCCCTGGAAGAATGAGATGATGTGATTAGCATTATTGTGTGGGCTTATCCTTCCAGGTATCCCCGGTGCCCTAGGGCCCCAAGGAGTTCCAGGTCTGAAGGGGGACCGAGGAAACCCAGGCCGCACCACAGTTGGGACAGCTGGTCCCCCTGGCAGAGACGGTTTGCCAGGCCTGCCCGGCCTACCGGGCCCACCTGGTAAGTCGTTCATTTCCCTCTTTGGTCTTGAGACTCAGGTGTGATTGGGACTGCAGAACAGTTGTGATTCTTGAGGAAGAGAGCATTTCACAGGAGGAATAGCCGGGGCACATGATGCTCCTGAGTCAGAGCCTTGCTGCTAGAGGTTAGCGACCAGAACGGTCAGAGCCTCATCAAGGAGCAAGCAAGCTAAGGCCACCTCGATGCCCAGACGCTACCTAATGCCTTCCAGTTTGTGTAATCGTTTCATCCCGCCCTCCGTTGTCCTCAGCCCCTCCACCTCTGGTCTCACAGCTTGTGAACAAGCAACGTTGGCTCTCTCAAGCTTCCCCTGGTCCTCAGGGCTGCAGTGGGGTGGGAATAGGAGCCTGAGACATGGGAAGCCAAGCCTGGATCCTCAAGACAGTTGCCCAAAGCCTCGACAGGGTTTATTCTCCTTATGTCTTCTACCTGAGCATGGGACCCTAGATTCTAAGAGAAAGGCTGGACACAGGCCCAGCATGTTTCGTTGTCACCTAAACCCCAAGAAGTGTCGTTGTCATCTAAACCCCAGGAACGCCATTTCCTCTGTTGTCCCAAGAGCACTTTCTGGGGTAGACATTAGGACCGCTGACTTACTGAAGCTGTCTTGGTCATTCCTGTCCCCTCAGTGTCCAGTCCGGTGCCTGGAACATAGTAGCCCTTCTGTAAGTCATAGTAGAGTGACGAGGGCCACCGGGGGAGAAGATTTGCCACAGACGTTGGGTCCCTGTCTCTGCTTTGGTTGCTGAGCCTCAAGGACACAGGCCTTAGCAACCGAGCTGCTGTGCTTAGTCATGTGTGATGCGCCTATCTTTGATGTTTCCCTTTCCCTGAAGGTCCAGCATTTGAGACTGGAACCCTACAGAATGCAGAGCCAGGCTTCCCTGGTCTCCGAGGAGAACGAGGTCCAAAAGGAAACCCAGGCCTCAAAGGAATGAAAGGTGATTTTTTTGTCGCCTTGGGTTTCTGTGTTCCCCCAAAATCCTTGCAGAAGGTTTCTGGGGCATGAGTAGACGAACAGCTTTGGGAACCTGAACAGAAGCAGCTGGGGGGCTTGATCAGGGATTTGATTATAGGATTCTTGGCAGTGCTCCACATTTAGGGCTCCGAGACTGAGGCTAGCAATTGAGGTCACATGGGACGAAGTGGCTCGTGGGCTCCTCTTCCTCTTTCTACCCCATCCACCAGCAGAAGCTGTGGCCAGCAGCCCCAGCTATTAGCCAGCCCATGCTGCACCCCTTCCCAGTGTGCAAGGCCAAAGGCCAGAAGTCACATATCATTACCTTCAGCCTGAAGGAAAGGAGTCTGAACAGGTCAAGACCTGGCACTCCAGAAAAGCCAACAGGCCCCAGGAAAACAACCTTGGGTCCCCACTGATGGTGAAGGGCTGACCGATTAGCACAGCCTTCGGCGGCACGGCTCCATCCATCATCCTGCGGCCTCTGGGTCATTCCTCTGTTGCACGCTCTTGAGGGCCAGATGCTAAAGTGCAAATAAATCAATTCATTTTAGTTGCGGCCCAGGCCAAGGTGGAGGAAGACGTGAGACTGCTGGCCGAGGAGAGGTTTGGGGATTGCCGAGGGGTTTCAAGTATCTGAGATCTTTCCTCTTCTCTCACAGAATGAGCAGCTCTCCTTGACCTCAAGCAGAATGGCCCTCACTTCCTCGTCCCCTTTCTCAGTGCCGCCTCCTAACATGTCACTGCTTATTAACGGAGCTGGTTTGGAAGTTTTTTTTTTTTTACAAGTTCCATCTCTGTTGTTCAGCTCCAAGGAGGACTATTTGGAGGGAAAAGGAAGGGAATTGCAAGCTTTGACGTAGGATGTGAGCCTGAGCCCTTTCTTGCCTCACTACAGAGCTAGGGTACTTCCTGATACCTGTTACCAGGCCTTCTGATTCCCTCCATGGGGTTGTTCAAGGCACAGATCACCACGGTCATATCATCCTTTTTCTTGGGAAGGTGGCCCGCTTTGTTTAACCATTGTCTTCTTTTTCCCCCAGGGGACTTGGGCTTTTGTGCCTGTGACGGTGGTGTCCCAAACACCGGACCACCTGGGGAGCCAGGCCTGCCTGGGCCACCTGGCCTCATAGGCCTTCCAGGCCTTAAAGGAACCAGAGGAGATCCAGGCTCTGGGGGTGCACAGGGCCCATCAGGGACTCCAGTAAGTCTTACCCAACTTTGGCCCCGAGGGAGGACTGGGAGCTCTCCAGGGTCCCTTACTCCTGCCCCAAGCACTTTTCTAAAACACAGGAAAGAGAGATGGGGATAAAACAAAGCTTCATGGTTCGGATCTGTAGTATGAAAAAGTCAGACCAGATGATGTCCAAAGTCCCCTTGTGCAATGACCTGCCTATGTTCCCTCCATCCCTCCCTCCCTTAATCCCTTCCTTCCACAAAATCATTTGTATTTGCTTAGCACCGCCCCAGGGCCCTGAAGATAAAATCAAACTAAGACAAGGTTACCATCCTCAAAAATTTCAACTTTGAGAAAGATAAGAAAATAAATGGGCAATTGTGACCCAAGATGATGACATATTCAAGGGCCCAGAGCAGTGCCAAAAGGTACCCGAGGATCTGCTCCAGGTCAGACCTAGGCTAAGTGCCAGAGTCCTACCATGTCTGCATCTCCTGATTCTGCCCTTTTCTCTCTTTGTCAGGGTTTATTTGGGCCTCCTGGTCCTGCGGGCCCCAAAGGAGAGAAAGGGGAACCAACTCTCAGTTCAGGATCAGGGGTGCCGGGGCAGCAGGGTGATCCTGGCCCCCAGGGGCTCCCTGGGGAGACCGGAGCCCCAGGCAAGGAAGGAATACCAGGTTTGCCAGGTCTGCCAGGCCTCCCGGTAAGTTGATCGTTCCTGGGTGTCGAGCTCTATAAAGCCTCACGGCTGACTTTGGGGGTGGGGGTTCTGACGGCCACTAGACCATGAGACAGGGCAGAACAGAGTGCCAGCATCTCTTCTGGCCTCTGCCGCTAACACTTTCTGCTCTGTGCTTCTCCTTTAGGTAAGATGAGAGTCTTTCCCTGGGCATGGGTCATTGTCTCAGTTGATAAATGCTCGTTAACTATCGACCCTATCGCTTAAAATGCTTCAGCTTCTCAGTAACTTCCCCCCCGCCCCCCGCAAGTAATCCAGCTGCTTTCTGGGCCCCCAAGCACTGTTACCCTGCTCCTGTTTCCTGCCCCCCTCCCCACCACTGATCTAGAAGGTTTTGCATCATCAAATCTCCGAGGGTTGACTAGCTTCATTCCCATTAACCAAATCAGAGGAATTGATTGAGAAACTAGAGGGATCGAGGATTTTAGCCAAATGACCACACTGGTTACCTCTTTCTTATGGTCAGAAGCCTCTCCTGATCCATCTTTCAGTTGGGCTTTCATTCTTTCTTCTGTGTTGTCTAGGGTGACGGTGGACAGGGCTTCCCAGGTGAAAAGGGGTTACCAGGACTTCCTGGTGAAAAGGGCCACAGTGGTCCAACCGGCCCCCCAGGAATTGGGCTGCCGGGCTCTCCTGGACCTCGTGGGCTTCCTGGAGATCAAGGAATTGATGGATCACCAGGGCAACAAGGCCTCCCTGGGCTTCCCGGTGAGTCATGGAATCAGATGGTCTGGGACTTGAGAAACTGACCCTTCGTGGAGTGTGGCTCTGACCCGGGCGCATGAAATGTGTCAGACGAAGAGACTTGGCTGATTATAATCACTGCTTGCAATTTCTAAGGGTTTTCATATGGAAAAAGGATCATAATTATATCATGGTACACCTACACAGAGCAATGTAGATTTCAGTCCTACTTAGTAAGAAAACTTCCTAACAGACCTGTCTGAAAAGGTAACAGAGCTGCCTTGGGAGCTTATGAGCTCACAGTCCCTGGAAAATTTCAAGCAGATGCCAGATGTCCATTTTGTTACAAGTACCACTGGAGTAATGAGCCGGAGATGGAATAGGTGTCCCCCCTAAGTTAGATGATAAGGTCATCAGCAGGGAAGAGCCTTTCCTTCATTCCTGAGGTCTCAGATTGACAACAGACCCTGCTTGTATCTAGTCTCATCTCTATTTCCTACCTTAAATCCCTCCCATTTAGAAAGTTTCTTTTTGTCCCTGAATTGCAGGAACTCTAACGAGTGACAGCCCTGCTTGTAGATGGCAAAGGTGCCATGCTAATAACTCGCCTTCTTCCAGAACAGCTCTTCATCCCAACTTCGGTTTCCATTAGTCACACCACCCTACTTACGGTCATCTGAAGTTTGAAAACTCGAAATTCATCTCTTATTCTTCATTTGCAGTGTTTATATTCTTTCCTTCCTCTTCTCGCTACTGAGCTCTTATCTCATGCCCAGCTTATCAAATATACCCTCCATGCCTGTTGGAATAAATGGACGGTTGGAAGGAAGGATGGGTGGATGGTTGGGTGAGTGGGTGAATGGTGACAACTTCCTACATGGTTTCTCCTCTCCTACCTCCAGACTTTCCCCCACTCAATTCTGCTATGAACACTGTTGCCGATGTAATATTTGTGAATTATTGCTATCATTGTGTTATGCCCCTAGGCTTGAAGCCACAAGGGGTGGCCTTTTTATGGAATGTTCTTCCTCTTCTTTCTGTTTCTGGAATGTTCTTGCTCTTTTTTCTATGCAATCAGGTTTTATCCATCTTTCAGGGTGCAAGCCCCACTTCACTAAGACTTCTCTTGACCTCCCCAGGATGTCACTGCCACTTCAATTATGTATTTTCTTCCATAAATGCTTTTGCTTTTCCCAACTGCTTTGTAAGCAGCTGGATACTAAGGAAGGCAATCCTTTTTGGCATTTCTCGATTTGCCTAGTACAGTGTAATATTCCTTAAGAGACTAACATACACTCACCGAAGAAAAGGGTTTCTCAATAACCAAAGGGCTATTTCTTAGACCTGTTTCTTCTCTTTCTACCTTGTCACCTTGAAGAATTACCAAAAAAAAAAAAAAAGAAAAGACAGAAACCAGGTCTTGTCAAATTTTATTTACCTTAAAATCTACTTGTGTGCATTGGTATAACGAGGATGATGGTACAGGTTAAGAATCGATGATTCAAGATTCTTAAAACCAAGTCAGTATTTCAGTTTACAAAGTCCTATGAAAGCTGTGAGGAAATTTTGTCAGACTCAGTCATCCTGCCTTTTGCAAGTCCTGGTGTCAGCCATAACTTTGCATCTAGCTCTGTTCCCAGAGACATTATTCATGGTCATTCCACTGCCCCTCTGCCAACTGGGTCTTTATTCTAGGCCAACCATTTGTGTAGACACTAGGTTTTTAAACTGAGTTATACTGAGACGGTCCATACATACTTACACACACTCAAATCTGGATATTATCAACATTCTGATTGTTTGACAATAAGCTGAGTCAACAGAAGGAGGCCCATGGGACCATTTCTACCCTAAACATCACTAGGCCCCAGACACAGAAAGTTCCTAGGAACATAGTCCTAGAGTAAACTCTAGCCTGGGAGATGCCTTATGCAGAAAATGGTCTTGTTGCAGTACCACGATTTTCCAAAAAATTACTTCAACTAAGAGCATCGGCTTTCTTTTTTCTCTCCATGGCAACCAAACACAGCTCCTCAAACCTAGCAATTTTATTCCACGTAATTTTAAGAACACATAACCTATGAGCTCTAGACATTTGCATTGTGGCCATTACTGTTGCCATGAAAACAAAAGATGCTATTCTATTATTTTTTTAAGAGAGTGTGTGAGCAGCAGGGTGAGCGGACAGGGGCAGAGGGAGAGAATCTGAAGCAGGCTCCACGCCCAGCGCAGAGCCCAACGCACGGCTCCATCTCATGACCCTGAGATCAGACCTGAGCCGAAGTCAAGAGTCAAATGCTTAACTGACTGAGCCCCCTGAAGATGCTATTCTTAATGTACTCACTCCGACCAGTGGTAGCCCAGGCTAGGATGGCTGCATTGCCAGAAAGGGAATGTAGTCATTAGAAGCCTTTCACCTGAGTGGTGTGAATTATTACAAACCTTGGACCAGCAGACAACTGGCTGTTTCCAAAGAGGCTCTGATCCAGATGCTCATAGTAATCCATCACCCTGGTTATTACCGAAACAGCTACTGTGTCCTTGATCCCATGTGTGTGTCAGCTCTCTCCCTTCAATCCAGACAGGGACTGTGATCGGTGGGCATACCCAGGCTGCAGGCCAGACTTCCCTTGGACCTCAAGAAACTGCTGTCCCGGTTTAATTTTCTTCTTTACTCGATTGGTCTAGGTGATTGCTGCTGCAGGGAGAGCGTTGGTAAAGGACACTTAGTCACAGAGGGAGGTGAGAGCTAGCTCAGTGTCGAGGTTCTCAAACACCAGTGTGGGCAAAAGCTTCCTTCCTTTTCGTTCACCTCTATCTCAGACACTCATGATGGCCTGAGCACCGCACTGGAGCCTCTGGTTGGGGGAAGGGGGTGATCCTAAGGCTGGGGCACAAAGCAGTAAGTGGGCATGCGGTCTCTGAGAGAGACTGATTTCCTTCACCATGCATGTCGATGGCTTGGCTGATGTCTGCCTGGAGCACCTTCATTTTGTGAACTTAACTGGGGCCATAACTTGCCTTGGGAGGTACCCGGAAGGATGCACACATGTCTGATGTTCATTCATGGGACCCAGAGTAAACGGAGATGTTAGAATCTCCAGAAGCAGAGGCACTTTTTATTCTGAAGACACATTCTGAAGACACTAAATTCTCATTAATTTGCTCGTGTGTTGCACTTATGAAACAGAAGGCAGAGAGAGCTGATTTCTGCTTTGTGGTGGGGAGAAGGCTCTGAATTCAGGGTTGGAAAGTAGAAGACAGAGGTGTAAAGTGAAAGAGCCAGGTACCAGGGTGACTTGAAGTTCTTCCCTCCTGAGCGTTTTGACCCTCTGCTCGCAATACACAAGTGTGCTGTGGTGCACAGGTCTGTCCTGGAGCCTTTCCAGATGCCTGTCCTTGGCCCCATCCTCTAAAGGTTTGTTTTTATCTGGCTGTCACAAGTGAAAAGAATTTATGAAACTTATCTAATGAATGAAGTGAGGATGGATGTTCATGTTTGCATCCAGTGCAGAGATATTTGGATTTTACCCTTTGTTTCATAAGATTGGAAGCAATGAAACGGCAGTGTTTGATACATTGGAGTCAACGGGCTATTGAAATAGCGGGGACATGAGAATCGTCTGCAGGGTCCCTCTTGTGATAGCATCCAGGGAGGCCGCTCTTCCGTCTAGTCCAAAGGACCAAGGCCCAAGCTGAGCACAGGATTGGCAGCCCTCACCTGGCCGAGCATCTTATCATGACAAGCTTGCCCACAGGTTATATAGTTCTATAGTAGGGAGATGGCCCTCAGAAATAGCACCATCATCTCAGCACCTGGCAGGTGGGTGTGAGCACCTATGGGGAACGGTCAGGCCCTAACGCCCTCTCTCCAGCTGTAGAAGTATGACTCTCAGGACCTGCGGTCTAGAAGGCAGACAGTCCCTGCCCAGGCTATAGTAGTGTCGCTAACCGGACTAAGGTAGAAAGCAGGGGATGGCCTTGGAGGAGCTCTTCTGAATACTCCTCCCTAAATAAGATGATTAAAAACAAACAAACAAACAAACAAACAAAAACGGCCATTTACTGAGCAACCACCAGGGTGCTGGGCACCCGGTGAAATGCTGCTAGCATCCTGTCTTGTCATCCTCACAAACACTGTCTAAGAAGAGTAGCTTCTGTTTTATGCCTGAGGCTCAGGGAGGTTGAAGTATCTTGCCCCCACGACTAGTGAGTGTAGCAGAACTAGGAGGCGAGCTCAGGTCTCTCTGGCCTCAGAGCCCAAACTCTTAACCAATAAACTGTACCGTTCAATCCCCCATTTTGTTTTAGGACTAGAACACGTGGAGGAGGAATGGCAGCCAGTTGAGTGTGCAATCTGAATCATAGCTTGTATACATATCTGCAAGAAATGCAATTTGTGATTTCTCTTAAGTATGGGCGAAAGCTATCGCAGTTTACTAGAACTATTGGCTCTGTGGCTTTAGGCAGCCCTTGGGGGATTGTTTTAATGAATAGGCAAGACTAATTTTAATTAGCATAGCAGTTGTTTGTAAATGGCACTTGAGGGAGCCGACACACAATTTGTTCATCGGTATTTTATTAAACCTGCCCTCTGTGATCTTATATAGACTCTTTATTTGCACTACGAACGAGCAAGGAGGAATTTGCTAGGGAAGGGGCTCTGCCTGCCAATTTCAATGTCTTGAACCCTGAAACTGACTACTGCTTCTCCCTGAGTCGCAGAGTTGACATTTTCAAAGGAGGAGCTAAAGGAAGGGTCACTGTGTGTCATGGCCAAGAGCGTGGCCTTCAATGTTTGCCTAGTACAGCAATACAGCTACCTCAGACCCAGGGTCATCATCAGTAGGTTTCTGTAGATCCCAAATGAGGTGGGGCAAAAGAACCCAGTGGGTTGTTTTCATTTCAAGAAAAGGGCGGACATGTGAACTCAAGGGGTCTTGGCTGCAAGCCCTCCAATCTAGTCACATGGCCATAATGGACCCTCAGGACGAACCCCAAGCCCCCATCCTAGGGAGAGGCTCCATATGAGGGCGGGGCGAGTAGGCAGTCGCCCTTTGGTGCTGCTCCTACATAAGCTACCTCTCAGAGATCTTGTTAGGGGACATCTCCTGCATAGATGACTGCCTGCCCACTGGACGTTGGTTTAGGAGGTGGCTTTCTGGCACTTGGCCCCTAGGGGATACTCTTATCTACAAGGAGTTGCACTGGGAGTAACTCCCAAGAGCTTCTGATGCCAGGATTCTTCTGCATGGGCTCCCAGCTGCTGGGTGGGAAGAACTTGGTTGTGCCATCTGAGGGGATGGGAGTAAAGGAGCATGCTAGGGGGAAATCGTTCCTGACTTGGCGGGCTCACCGGATGCTTACGTGATACGTGATACCTCTTACAGGCATCACCTTGCCGTGTATAATTCCTGGGTCCTATGGTCCATCAGGCTTACCAGGAGCTCCCGGATTCCCAGGTATGGAATGAGTCCAGAGAAAGCCACTGAGCATACTCATAAGGGCCATGAGCCCAAGGAAGTGGGGCCCAGGCTGGCAGCATTTGGGGGGCACATTCCTCCCGAGAGGGTGGCCTTGAGCAGTGAGGAAATAGAATGGCTCCTGGAGTGGTCCGTGCGGTGGGGTAAGGCTAAGAGGCCCCCTGCCCTGCCCAAGAGACTAGGATTCTTGAGTGAACATCGCAAAGGTGACCAGGCACCCTGACTTTCCTTTCCCCTCACCACTCATGTTCGGGTTCGCAGGCCCTAAAGGGGCCCGTGGCCTCCCTGGGACCCCAGGCCAGCCTGGACTGCGTGGAAATAAAGGAGAGCCTGGAAGTCCAGGATTGGTTCAACTTCCTGAATTGCCAGGTAAGGAACGAAGTTTTTCCTCGCCTGCTTCTCTCCTCCCCTGTGACTGTGGCTTTGAATCGTGGTTGCCAGCCATCCATTGATCCCAGGCAGTGAGGTTTGTGCTCTGGTGTGGGTGGGGTGGTTTTGATCTCGTACTCAGGTGAGACAAGGCTTCAAGCTAGAGCGTGGCAGTGAGTCAGAGTGGTCAGGGCCATCAGCCAGGACAAGCGCTTCACTTTCAGATGAAGCTCAGGTGGAAAGTGCCTTTGCCTGAGGTCACAAAGTCACTAGTGACAGAGCTAGGACTCCACCGCTTAACTGACTGCCAAGCCTCTGGCAAGTTCCTGGATCAAATCCTTCTAGGTCACACAAAGATGTTCAGATGAGTCAGAGGGAAGTGGTTTCTTTCTATCCCTTTGCTCACACCCTGCGGCAAGCTTGTTCTCCACTGCCCCAGTGGTTCTTAAACTGTGTTCCCCAGAGCTGCAGCACCAGCATCTCCTGGGAACCTGTTAATAACAATGCAGACTCTTGGCCCCTCGGCAGAGCTACTGCTCAGAAGCTCGGGGCAGGGGGCGGTGGTGCCCAGCCATTTGGGTGTGGCCTAGCCCCCCCCCCCCCCCAGGTAGTTCTGACCCCCACTCAGTTTTTGAACCAGCCTGCTCTGCGGCATGGGGATCGTCACGGGCCAGACCCTCCATGGTTTATTTATCCAGCTTCAAACCCCTCCAACCACCCACGGAGGAGGGAGGCATGACAGCAGAGGATAGATGACTCCAGAAGAAATTGGGCCTTTGACGGAGAGTCCTGGGTATCACCTGGGCCCTTCGGCCAGTGGAGCTGCCCGGGGAGTGGGTTACTGGGCTCAGCCCCAGGCCTGGCCTCACTGAGCTAGAACCTTCTGCAGCTCACAGGGTGCAGTCCCCACCTCTGGGCATGTCCTCCCAGGACCAGAGGCTCTTGCCTTTCAAGAGAAGTGACACACATTATTGAAATGTTAGCTTTTGTAATAGAAAAACCCAAATCTGTCTCCAAGATCTCTACCCAGACCTATCCCTTCTAAACCTCCATGGCCTTTTTATTTTTTGCCTCTTTACATTTAGGATTTCCTGGACCTCGTGGGGAGAAGGGCTTGCCTGGGTTTCCTGGGTTCCCTGGGAAAGATGGCTTGCCCGGGGAACTTGGCAGTCCAGGTTTACCCGGTTCCAAGGGAGCCCCTGGTGACATCTTTGGTGCTGAGGATGGTGCTCCGGGGCAGCAAGGCCTACAGGGATTGCCAGGGGACAGAGGATTTCCTGGAGACTCTGGCTTTCCGGGACCCAAGGGTGAGTCTTTTTGACTCACTTATTTAACAGTCTATGGAAAGTCTTTCGGTGACCGGCATAGCCTTGCATGTATTCATGAGTACACGCTTGAGCCTGGGGTGGTGGATCCATGAGGGGGTGACACTGAAAAGTCATTTTGTTCTGTCTCTCCCTTCTGGGAACTTTTTCTTAAATCACCGGAGTCTGTTCTCCTTACTTAGTCAATCTGGAAGTGACCATGATGGAGAGTCCGGTTTCTGGTATAGCCTCTGATTTGCCGCGAGGGCTGGAACAGAGGAGGCCGTAGCACGGGGATGTACCCTGGGCCATGCTCTTGCGCGGCAAGTTGCTTTGGTCACCAGTCCCTGCTGTCCATCCAGGCTGTTGATCATCTGCCCCTTCCTTTCACTAGGTTTGCTTGGGAAGTCGGGCCTGTTAGGCCCCAAAGGTGAACGGGGCAGCCCTGGCACACCGGGCCACGTGGGACAGCCAGGGCCCCCTGGGCCTGATGGTCTATTTGGCGTCAAGGGCAAACCCGGGCTCCCGGGTGCACCAGGCTTTCCGGGCCCTTCAGGTAGGTTCTTTAGAGGAGGAGCCCCAGCTTGACAGCCTTAAGCCGGGCCTTGGGCCCTGGCGCCCCGAGGGGCAACAGAAGGAGTGCACCAGGGGCAGGGTCTAGAAGGATCCTCAACTTTCCCAACCTCTCACAGTTCCCAATCTCAGGGGGCCCTGGCAGTGCCAAGCAGAAGAGATTTCTGTACTTTAGCTTCCAAAAGGGTAGGTAGCTCGCATCCCTCCCCACCCCTCCCCCATGGCCTCGCTCCCCCTTTCCCAGTTCGAGAAACCACCCTAGTTGTGCAGGGGTGTCTAACCATCTCCGCTGGCTCGGCTGGGGCCCTGGGGAGCCTGCTTGGGGTCAGGGGGCAGAAGCTTGAACGGAGGGTGGCTACATGGTGGCCTGCCTCTTGGGCGAGCATGCCTCTGAGGACTGGGCCGTGGGGCTGACACCCCCCCTCCGGCTCCAGCCTAGTGTTCGAGGCTCCCCTGCTCCTCCTGCCACCTGCCTCACCCCTGCCTCCAGTGACTATGTTACCTCCCCACCTTACTCCTGGCCACGTGACTGAAGTTGAGTTTTTGCAGAACCGCTCAACTGCTTTTTATCCCCTTTAGCCTTCTGTGTTTCTGGGGTCTTCCCGTGGGCCGTCCAGGTGAGAAAACTACGCAAGCTCACAGGCTAACACCCCCACCGGCTTCGCTGCTCGAGGAATTCTCGGACTATATGCTAGAGCCTGGCAAGGCCAGGGGTCCCCGGACTCATGCTGGGGGGCTGGCCCCCATTGAATTTCCTTCCCTTGTTGTGGAATCCCCTTCCCAGCCCCCCATTAGAATCCTGGGGCTTGCAGCTCCTGGATGCTTTTCAATTCATGGAAAGCCAAGTCAGCCATTCATTGAGGTCCTCGGGGGCCCACATACCTCTGTCGTCACTGATTTAATCCTTTGGTTTTTTAATTTCCTTGCTTTGTACCTGAACATTCCACTTTGGCAGCAGCTCAGGAGGTTAATCCCATTGACCAACTTAAAGCCTGGTGAAAGAAATCCCAGAATACCTAGGAGACCAAATGGGCCTTGGGGATTTCTACAGGACTTGGCACTAGGGGGTCTTTCAACCTTAATGCCAAGGAACTGGCTGACTTAACTGCTTGCAAGAGGGATTAAAAGGGCAGCCCTGTATCCATGGCTCCCTGGGAGGCTGAAACAATGTCCGGCTTTAACCTCTGCTTCACCAGATTGGCTCAGGAAACAGTCATTGTGGCGTGGCTCAGAATGGACGTACCAGGGAGCTAGGGTCCAGTTGCCGCCCTGGCTTCCCAGAGCTCCATTCACAGGCGAAGATGTGAACCACATTCATAAAAGGGGGAAGAAGTTCTAATCGGAAGGGGTTTGCGCACCCTGCCAGCCACCGTGCCATGCTGAAAGTAATAGCCACTGGCGTGCGTGAGGCTCGGGGTGGTAAGCGCTAAGGCTTCAGCGAGCTGAGAAGCCTGCCAGTTAGCAGCCTGCACAGGGCCATTGTTAAGGGACCATTTCCAACACCCAGCCAGCCAGCCAACCAGAAGCCATGGGAACGGGCAGTGGCCCAGATCTGGACACAGCCTCCCTTGACGGCTGTCCTGTGTTCTCTCCTGTGCTAATTCAGGACATCCTGGAAAGAAAGGTGTAAGAGGCGAGACAGGTCCCCCTTCATCAGCTGGAAAGAGAGGCCTGCCGGGGCTGAAAGGCCTTCCGGGATCTCCAGGGCTGGTTGGCTTCTTGGGGAGCTCAGGCTTGCCAGGGAACACTGGGTTGCCAGGCCTGCCAGGTCTGAAGGGTAAGTAAAGTGGGTGGGACTGTTTGTGGTAAGAGCGTCGGGCGGAGCCGTGCTAAGGGAAGGCTCCCACCTAAGGTGAGTCACCCCTGCTGCTGGCTGGGTGGAGCGCTGGGCTGGGTAACGCTGTCAGGAAGGCCCAGGACAGTGACCGCCACGCTGGGTATACTCATTTGCTCCACCCCTTCCATGGGGCCCGATGGCTCTCCGTTTCTGCTAGACCACCAGAGGTTGGAGGGGAGGCGTCTCCATCTTATACAGAGGGAAATGACGGGCCCAAGGTCACACAGCCGATTAGCAACAGCACCTGGCTAGGGCTCACCTCCCTGCCTCCCGGTCCTAGGCTTTTTTTTTTTTTTCCTTTCTGTGCCACCCATGAGCTCTAACTTGGCACATCGTAAGAGAGGCGCCCACCTCCTCTTTCCTTCCTGTTGTTTTAGTGCCACGTCCCTGTTCAGGGAAGTAGTATAATATGTAAACATTAACAGCTGGGGCTTTGGACTTAGAGAAACGTGGGTTGGAATCCCTTCTTTGCAACTGCCAAGCTGTGTGATTTGGGGTAAGTTATTTAACCTCTCTGAGCGGCCCATTTCCTTGTATGTCAGGCAGGGATAATAAGAGAAGTTCTCGTTTCTCAACAGGTGAGAAGGGGTCTGTTGGACTGGCTGGTTTCCCGGGGATGCCTGGTCTCCCAGGTATTCCTGGCGCAAGTGGATTAAAGGGCATTTCTGGGTCAGCCGGAAGAGCGGGACCATCTGGACGGGCCGGTGGTGCAGGTGGAAAAGGTGAGCTCGGGAACTGAATTCTGAACTTGCTAGCCCCGCTTCCCAAGGTACATTTTGTCCATCGACCTTGAAGCTGGTGTGGCTTATACCCATCCTGTGTTAGATAATGAGATTTGGGGCTTCTGAACCCCAAACCTTGGCTTTTAAACCAAAAGATCTAATCACTTGTGAGTTTTTTGCCGCATGTTAGAGGCCTCATGGAACGTTCCCAGACGCTCAGTGGAGAGGGGTTTGGAGTAGGCTTCAAAGTTGCTGGCCGGCTTGGGCCCGTCCAGGGAGAGGGCATGCACATAGGTGGGAAGCTGGGGAGCCAGGGGCGGGGCAGGGCCCGGAAAGGAGGCCTGGGGGTGGTGCGGGAGGAGCTGAGATGAAAGGTCAGCCCGTGCCTGACCCCGTGTCTAAGCTTCCTCTCATGAGGGTCTCACGATCTACCCCCCCCCCCCCGCAGGAGACAGAGGCGACCCAGGGCCAGCTGGAATACCCAGCCCAAGACCGCCCACACTGAACATTCGATTCAAAGGAGACAAAGGCTCGAGAGGCTCAGCTGGATCCACCGGATTTCCTGGGCCCAGAGGTGCCGGGGGCAGGCAACGGGCAGGAGAAACGCTCATCTTCAACTTCCCTCCTGGGAAAAGAGGCCCCGCAGCACAAGACGCCCCCCCGCAAAGTGGCAGTGTGGGTGGCGGCAGGCGGTCCAGGGAGGCTGCCTTCTCTGGGCCTGAGGGGCGTCTGGACTTCAAGGCTGCCACTTTTCATTGCCACTCTGGAACTGAAGTTTTGAACCACAGACTGTGGTACCCCTGTTGTTCCCCCCGGAGAAGCCTGGCAGATGCTGGGACATGGGCACTGGCAGTGTTGAGCCGGGGTGGTGCTGACTGGTGCCCCCTAAGGCTGAAGGCACCTCCCCCACCCACACCTTCATACCGTACCCTCCCCCAGCTAGCCATCCCCAAGTCCCCAAGGCTACACTTTGTTTGCCTGTGATCCAGGGTCCTGCACCTTTGGGGAGCAGGTTTGCTCTTGCCCAGGATCTTTTCTCTAAGCCCTTTACTTTTTTCCCAGGTGACAAAGGAGAGGTTGGCCCCCCGGGGCCACCAGGATTGCCTGGAGCTCCCGGCTTCCCCAGTACCATCAAGGGACTCATTGGGAGAGCAGGCCTCCCTGGCTCCGCAGGACAACGGGGCTTACCTGGCCTGAAGGGGTCCCCTGGAATCACAGGTTTCCCAGGAATACCAGGGGAAAGCGTAAGTGCACCCAGCTCTTGGTCTCTGCACCAGGGAAGGACCTCTGTAGCAGGGGGACAGGCCCCTGCGCCCCATCTTTCTGGCCCCAGCCCACTTCCCGGCCCCTTCCCCTAGCTCACCCTAGATGAAGCCCTCTCCCTGAGTCTGGCAGGTCTTCCCCCACCCCTTTCCTGAAGGTTCCTTCCTCTGGACCTTTGTTCATGCTCTCTCCCCCACAGGGCAGAGCCTCCTCCTCTGCAACTAACTGGCTAATGCCCACCCGTGCTTTGGGCCCCAGCCCCAGGCACCCACTCCCCCAGTAGTCTCGGAGCTCCCACCCTGCAGGCATGCTGCACTTCTCATTGCTTATATGAATCCCAGTTGGTTCTGTGTGGGCCCGATTTCCTCAACGAGATTGTCAGGCCTTGAGAACGAGTCCTTACACATTCTTCTAGAAGTCCGCACCCCGCCGCCGCCCCCGCCCTTGAGCTAGGCACATCGTAAGACTTTGGTACAGGCCTCTTGACGTTGTGATTTCAGAAAGGTCATTGTTGACAAGTGGCAAATAACCAAATCAGCTTGTCTGGGTCCTTCAAAGGCAGGGCAACAGAATAGGCATAGGCACGAGACGGAGCTGGGTTCGGATCTCTGTCCCCCGCTCATCAGCTCTGTGATTCTGTGCATATTGCTTACCTTGCCTGAGCCTCGCGTTTCTCATCTGCACAAAACGGAAATGATCCTCAAACCTCCTTCGGGACAGCAGTGAGGATTAAACGCACTAATCCACGTAAAGCGCTTAGCTTGGTATCTGGCAAATGGTGGGCTCTCCATAAGTAGTAGCCGTCATAGTAGCAGTACTGAAGGGACCGAATGAACTGGATCCCAGAATGCCTGTGCTCCCTGCAGGCAAAGTCCCTGTCCCTCTAAAAGCATCAGTCCATCTGATGGAGAGTGGAGAGAACACACACACACACACACACACACACACACACACACACACACATCCCAGAAGCAACTGCAAAAGAAAGTATTCTTAGCTGGATGGTCCTGACCCCTCCTGCCCTAGGAGGGATGGAGTCAAAGTGGGAAAGCATTCTGGGAGGGATCCCAGCGTGAGCAAAGGCTCAGAATGAACAGATATCCCAAATGTGTAGAAAAAGCCAGGCAAATGGAGGGGGCATCCAGGGTGGGGAGGTCAGCGAACACAGAGACCCGGCCCAGAACTCAGATTCCCACGCAAGGCACTAGGTAGTGTACGTCTTTACTACGGATGGCTCCGCAACTCAAAAACCACACCAACTCCCGGGGGAGTCACTGGACTGATGGCAGCTGACACGCCCACGTCCCAGACTCAGACAGAGTGCTGGACATGAGTCAGTCAAGGCAGTTTTTCCCGTGAAAATGGTCACATCAGCCCAAACGCAGACTCCAGGACCTGCGCACATCCAGCCTGCTACGTGGTTCCTTGCAGGGACCCGAAGCTTGCAGGACTCGCAGCTGAGGGCTGTCGCCCTGCCCGGTGAGGCAATCCTTTTCCTTGTGCGTTGTGGCTCCAGAGCTTTGGCATGGGTGCCGCTAGCTGACTGTCTGCAGAGCACACCACCAAGAATCCGGCCGGACGGTCACGTCCTGTATTTTCAAAGAGACTTGCTACAATAGCCATACCTTGATTTCCCAAGATTCTCATTTTGATAGCCACTGGGAAGTTATGAATGACGAGACCAGGATTAATCTGCAGATAGAGTCCCTCCCCTAAAAACCCTGACTATGTTTTTCCACCCTTGGCTCATCACCTTCCCTTCCGCAGGATGCCTCCTCCACCCACCTACCCCTGCCACAGCGTACACAGTAGACCTCTCTCAGGCAATGGTTTGTGGGGTGGGCGGTGAGAGCGTGGGAGGCCCTGAGCTCCGGGCAGAAACAATGATTTCCATATTTTTCGAAGGGTTCAAAGGGTCTCAATGGAACTCCCGGACTCCCAGGAACATCTGGTCTCCCAGGTTCAAAAGGTGAGGAGCATAATCCCTTCCAGTTCCATCCATGTCGATGCAAATGGGGGGTATTCATCCTTTCTGATGGCTGAGTAATATTCCATTGTATAGATGCTAAGTGAAATACATCAAGCAGAGAAAGACAATTACCATATGGTTTCACTCACATGTGGAACATCAGGAATAGTGCAGAGGACCACAGGGGAAGGGAGGGACAACTGAATGGGAAGAAATCAGAGAGGGAGAGAAACCATGAGAGACTCCAGGAAACAAACTGAGGGTTACAGAAGGGAAGGGTGTGGGGGGATGGGGTAACAGGGTGATGGACATTAAGGAGGGTGCATGTTGTGATGAGCACTGGGTGTTATACGCAACTAATGAATCATTGAACACTGCATCAAAAACTAACGATGTACTATATGCTGGCTAACTGAACATAATTAATAATTAAAAAAAAAAGTGAGGAGCATTTTCTCTTTTAATGGGTGTTTCCAGAGCAAGGTGGATTTCTAGCAGGCTCAGGGTTCTTGGGGAAGGAAACTCGGTGTTCAAGGGGAAGTGAATTGATTTACCTTTCCCCTTTGGCCAAGACCCCTTTGCAAAGGGCTTTGCTCCTCAAAGACGTGTGACAAACAGTGGTTTGACCCACTTGCCTTCCAAACTCAGCAGCAGAAGAGGGCCTCGGCTCAAGACAGTCTTTTTCCCTGCTGAGCCCGGCCCACGGGGCAGGAAAATTTCCCATACTTGCCATCATCATTGTTCCATTCTGGTGATGTTTTAGCACCCCTCCTCCCATCTTCTCTGCCCATACTGAACCTAGCGATGTCTTCCCAATGGAGATATGCTTCACGTAGCAGCATTTCTTGCCAGTAGCCTGATAACATCCCAGCCTTTTTTTGGTGATTGGTCACTTTTTACCCAATGCATAGTTTTGTCAAAGATCTCTGGCTACGTTGAATCTGAAAAGGTTTTGCCATCAAAAGATCTCTTTGCTGCAAAATGAGCTCTAGCTTCTCCTGACCACTTGGACAATATCTTCATATCCCCAGGAGATCAAGGTCAGACACTTGGAATTTCCGGTAGCCCAGGACCCAAGGGACAACCTGGGGAGTCTGGTTTTAAAGGTAAGTCTACTGTCCTTTTATCTCACGTGTCTCACAAGCTCCTCAAAACTGAGGATCGGGAGGAATTGGGGAGGTCAACCCCGAGTTCTGTAACTTCTTTCCAGTGCAAAGAAATTCCTACCCTGACACGTATCCACTCATAGGCAGCCCACGGTTTCCCCAAGCAAACCAGTCTACTCTTCCTTTGAGACTCATGAGTTAAGTCGAATAAGACCTTTGGGATAATGGCATCCACTTCCTCCGTTTATAATTATCTAAACTGGTTCTCGAACATTTCCACCCATTTCCACCCATTGTTCCTCCTTATGGGGGCACACAGAGCACGTTTACTTACCTTAGCGGGCAGCACCTTGCAAATGCAAAGACAGGTCTTCTATTACCATCCTTTTCAGAGTTTTTCATTGGACCAGGCTCTCTTGACAGTTCAAGGAGCTTTCCTTTCCTGCTCCCCCTCCCCTGGGAAAAACACGGTGCCCGAAACGGGGCCTGACCACTCAGCATTTTTCTTGATGTTGTAGGCGAGAAAGGAACAGATGGATTCGGTGGTGATGTGGGTTTCCCAGGAAGCAAAGGTGAAGATGGGAATGTTGGTATTTCTGGAGATGTTGGCCTTCCCGGCTCCCCAGGTACGGTGCCACCCAACGACTATATTCTGAAAAAGTGAGGGTCAGCTTCAAGCCGTGGCCCACTCTGAGCTCCTGCCTTGCTTTCACTTTCAGGACTCCCCGGGATTGCAGGCATGAGAGGAAATCCAGGGTTTCCGGGTTCTCCAGGCCATCCAGGGGCAACTGGGCCCCTGGGACCTTCTGGCCTAATGGGAAGCAAAGGTATGTCTATTTGAGAGGAGGCCATGGGGAAAGAGGTTCTTCCCTCAGAAAAAGGACAGCAGCTCCTTTATATTAGGAGACACTCTCTGGGGGCAAGCCATTTCCGGGGGAGTCACTGACTGGCCATGTGACAGATAACGGGAAGAGAAGAACAGGGAATCCATGGAGAGAAGAGTTAGCGAGCAAGGCTGTTGTCCTGGCACACACAGGCTTCCCCTGACTTCAGGGTTGGGTAGCGAGTCTCTGGGAGGTGGCACCTCACTGCGTCCTCGAAGAGACCTAATCATCTACCACCCTGCTCTTAAAGCTGTATGGGTCTCTAATGAGACTCAGGAAAAGCTAGGGTGGAGGTTAGGGAGCGGTCTGCTCCCCCTTAGGGCATTAAGTAAGGCCTCCAGAAAGACCATGACCTTTAAAATGAGGACTTTGGAAGGCCCTGGGGGGCAGGAACTTTGGCTGACCCTTCACGATTCCAAAGTTGCCAGAGCCATTTCTGATAACTCTGTCTCCTCAGGTTTCCCTGGACTTCCTGGTTTACATGGACTGAATGGGCTTCCAGGAACCAAGGGAACCCATGGAACTCCAGGTAAGGAAGACCCTCAAGGGCAAGGAGGAGAGCATCGGCTCTTCCAGAAGGCTGGCAGGGGGCTGGCCATGGGTTCTCAACTGTGGGGTATCCCATATCCTTCAGCTCACAGATCTCCTTGCCAGGCCCCCGATCTGAGGTGCCTTGATTTGTGGAGGAAGGAGGAAGGGGGAAGGAGTTTGTTCTTCTACCCAGAATGAGCTCTCCTTCCGATTACTTCAGTACTCAGCTTCTGGTGCGCGTCAGGCAGGCCCCCAGCCCGTGAGCTAGGCATGAGGGCCTCGCCCGCACTGAGTTTTGTCCCTCTTCTGTCTGCATCTCCTCCTAGGACCTAGTATAACCGGCGTGCCTGGGCCAGCTGGCCTGCCCGGTCCCAAAGGGGAAAGAGGTTCTCCAGGAACTGGCCTCGGTACCCCAGGGAAGCCAGGCGTGAAAGGACAAAAAGGTGGCCGAGGTAAGTGAGCCCAAGTCAGGCCTTAGAGAAGCTGAGTAAGGCCCAGCTGGGGAGCCAAGGTCGGGGCTCCTCAGGGCCACGTGGCTCACAGGGTTGAGCTGTGCATGTCTTCACATCTCTGGGGAGCTCGGAACCCAGTGGAACTGACTGCTGGGGGGGGGGGGCATGCCTAGGGCTTTCCCGGAAGGTGTGTCAAGGAGCAGTCCGGTGAGCTCCTTCTAGCCTCCATATTCCCTCCTGCTCTCCCTTATTAACCCCAGGGGCTCTCTTGTGCCCTTGGCCAGGGCCTGACTTTAAAGGTCCTGAGGTCCAGGGCTTGTCCACTTAGCAAGAGATTTGCCGGAAGTTCCTCAGCATCCAGGGTGGATGGCGCTCTACTCCCAGGGCTCTAAGACAGCATGGCTGCCGGAAGGAGCCCAAGACTGAGGATAAATGTCTCCCTGGGAGAGACACTCACAGGCACTCAGTTAGGATCTGTCGGGTTTACTAGAAAGCAGGTTTTGCCCTAATCTCGGCTCCTGACTCATGATATCAAGTGAAGTCTCCTTCCGAGCTTTCCTTTCCCCACCTCTCAAGTGGCAAGAATGAAATCTGAGTCTCTCCCTCTCCTTGCGAATGTTCTGAAGACCCAGATACATGGCACTCGATGTAAAACAGGAAACAAATTTAGTGTAGCATCACACCTAGGAGTATGGGCTCTGAAGTCAGACCACTGGATTCAGATTCCAGCTCTACCCCCTCACTGGCTATATGACCTTGAACAAGGAAGTGACTTGCCCCTCAATCCCCAATGGACCCTTCATTTTCCTTTTCTGTAAAATGGGCATAATAAGAGAGTCGAGAACACAGGTTTGGTGAGGAACCAATGAGGAGCGAGGTAATAGGTATAAAAGCACTTAGTGCAGCACCTGGCACATAGTAGGTGCTCAAGAAACATTGTCCGTTATATCATGATGTGTTCCCCAGGGCAATCCTATTTGCAAAATGTTCTGCTCCTCCGTTATGGTTCTGGAGCTTGAGGTCCCCACGCATCTAATTTATGTGCATGTTTGTATAATGCGTGTCTGTTTTCCAGGAACTGATTTCTACATTAATTCATTTTCTGCTGAATTTTATATTGGTGCATCTGCTCTCTCTGTGTTTACTCTTTCTTTTGGTCGGGACCAACCTGTTCTTTTCTGAAAGCCAGCAGCTTCTTCCGAGTGGGGGCTCCCACAGGGTCTGAGCCCATAGGGAGAGAGTGTGGCTACTTTCACAGGAGGTAGAAAAGAGGGGACCCAGATAGAAGCAAAACCCAGATGGTTTCCCATCTTGACTATGGATGCCTGGTCATTAAATTATCCATTTCCTTTTGCTCTCTGAGGTAATAACAAAATCACAATGAAAAATGTAGTAAACAACACATGTGAAGATGGATACAGCTCAGGAACATGATGTTGATTTTAAAAAAAACAAAAACAAAACCGTTGGGTATGATTCCACTGATTGAAGTTTATAAATAAATGAAAACAAGCAATATATCGTTTAGGGACACAGATATGTGTGGTCAAACTGTGGGAATGATAAACACAAAATTCAGGAGTGGTAGCCCCTCGAGAGGGAGGGAAGGTGGTAGGGATCTGCGAAGGGCATGCAAAGAAGTTCAAAGGTAATGCCATCTTTGTCTTAAACTGGGTGGTGGGAGCAGAGATGTTCATTGTTATCTGGGTGAGTTTTTACTTGCGATTTATAAATATTCTGCTCTTCTCAATATTTAATTAAAACATTGTTTTAAAAGTATACAGCAAATATCTTCCCCCCCATAGAAACCTAACTCTGTTACGATCATAGAAATCAGTGTAAAATGAAGATTTACCCTGAAGCAAACTTCCTAAAGCAGTCCCTGTCCCTATAATACCTTTATCTAAAGAACTTTGAATCACACCCTTCGTTGTCGCATTTGCGCTAGATATTTAGAGGCTGCATTTGTGCATCTAAGCTTTTTTTAAGTCTCAGACACTGAAATGAGTTGGAAAAACATGCCATCGGGCATTTTCATGTGCTCCTTTAAAGTGTCTCATTCTTAAAGAAATACATGAGCTTTTTTTTTTTTAACTACTTGAGACCAGGAGGACCTTTATTTCAGTTTTAATGCTAGATTGGTACAATTCTAAACTCAAAAAACAGATAAAAAGAGAAGGCAGCTCCAAAAACTACTATGGGAGCTTTTTATACTCTGTGTGCTGCCCACAGCACCATCTGGTATCTTGTTTATTGCTTTTTGCTTCATTTCACCATATATATATATTTTATATTTATATATAAAAATATATGTATGTGTATATATAAAGCTATATTTTCAGGAAAAAACACAATATGTCTCTCTGTTCAGATGTTTACCTTTGTGACAAAGAAAAATACTTGAAAGATTCATCAAGACATAACTGACCATACTTAAAAGTAACACCACGTGGCTTAACAACTTGTTTTTCTTGTTTTCTTTTGTTTCGTCTCCAGACCTATAATAATTGGAGTCTTTTCTTGAAATTTACTTTTTTATTCTTTATGTTCCCTCTGCATTCAGTTCACTAATGAGCTGTAAAAACCACCGGAATTCACCAGTCCGCCATCTCTCTTTATGCATTTTTATGGATTTACTATTTCTTTAACAGAATACAATAAGTTCCACATTAATATTTCTGGCTTTCTTCATCAGAAAAATAAAAATTCAACATTAGTATTTTTGGATTTTATTGTTACAAAGAAACAGAAAATCATCTCGACCACCAGAATAGTTTTCAACCAGTAGGAATCTATTTCTCGTCATTGGAATGTATCCTAGAATATGCCAAAATAATAAATACATTTCTTTCATGCTACAAGTATAAGATGGACTTTGACATTTTACATATGGCTTTGATGTGGTTTCCCATCAGGATTCCATGTATGTCTTCATATGCATATTCAATAAATCTTCTGTAATCAGTTGAAATTTTCTGGTTTTGAACGTTATAGTAGAAATCGTTCCACAAACAGAAAAGAAGTAAAAAATATCGGAGCAGACAGGTATTCTTTATCTACTCTAATAAATAGCTTTTCTCTTTGACCAAAAGGGGGGGGCGGGATGTGGTATAGAGAAATTTGTTCTATAGGCAATTAAGCAAGCAGCCAGCTGGTATCACCGATTGCCTGTCAAAGCCTTTCCCAGTTTGCCTAGAAGACCCAGAAACTAGCCCTAGGAGACACCAGGAGCCGTACTGCCCTTGGGGCCTGCATTTGGACCCAGCACGCGGCTCTTCTGGCTGGAGCCCGTGCCCCACCTCGGCCCTCATACCTTCTCTGGGCAGCCCCAGACATAACTGGCTAATTCAGTGAAAATGTGCCCACAGGGCCAGAAGGTTTAAAAAACACTTTAAAGAAACTTCAGTTCCAGATGTTGCAGTCATGCCTTCTTTTCTTCCCCATTTGAGGGAAATCTGTCTGAAATAGTTCCATTTCCAGTGACACTGGAAGCTAGAACTTTCCAAAGCTCCCTCCCGAGGAGGAACTGCGGCACCTGCTGGGGGGTGGAGGGGGGTGCGCGGGGCGGGGGGTGGAACAGGGAGTCACTGTGACCTCGTGTGGGCTGTGCTCCTCCGCTGGCTGCAAAGGGAGACCAACCGACCGACGGGAGAAGAGCCCTCTGCTGGCGTTCGCCGGTCTGGCCCCTACCTAACCGCTTCCACTTTCTCTGGGAGAGCCTGGCCACACCAAGCCCATAGCGGCCCCTTTTTATTTCTTCTTTGCAGGTTTCCCAGGTCTCCAGGGCCCTGCTGGTCTGCCCGGTGCCCCAGGCCTCTCCTTGCCCTCAGTCATAGCGGGACAGCCTGGCGACCCTGGGCGACCAGGCCTAGATGGAGAGCGAGGTAAAGACAGGAAGCCCCCCGCAAGAGGTTTGGCCTTCACCTTTTGTCCGGATTTGGGAGAGGTCCTAATACAGTCCGGCCCCATTCCTACTGCTGGACAGGCATGGGCCTGCTTGGCCTCACATCCCTCCCCCAGCAGGGACAACAGGGGACTGGAACGGGCTGCATTTGCTCAGAGCGATCAGGAAGGTCCAGGCCCTGGGACCCCACACACAGCAAGGGAACATTCTCTGCCCTGGGAAACAGGCTTTGGCTTCCTAGCAGCGCTGAGGCCTTCAGCAGTGGCCACTTCCTGCTCACCGGCCCTCATTCCTCTTCTGATCTTATCCTTAGGCCGCCCAGGCTCCCCGGGGCCCCCGGGGCCCCCTGGGCCGTCCTCCGATCAAGGTGACCCTGGAGACCCCGGCTTCCCTGGAGTTCCTGGCCCTCAAGGGTCCAAGGGAGACCAAGGAATTCCAGGTTTCTCCGGCCTCCCTGGAGAGCTAGGACTGAAAGGTATGGCTGCTCGGCCGGTGGTTGGGCCCTTTCCCACTCCACAGTTAGAGATAGCCCCTTCCCGCAGCCCCGTGAAGAGAGGCCCGCTGATCGTGCTCTTCCCGCCCTCAAATCTGCCTCGACTTCACCCCACCACCCCTCACCCGCACCACCGTGCCAGGCCCTGACTTGCTCTCCTTTGGACTTTGCCAGGCGTGAGAGGTGAGCCTGGCTTCATGGGGATTCCAGGCAAGGTTGGGCCACCCGGAGACCCAGGACTTCCCGGAATGAAGGGGAAGGCAGGGCCCAGAGGTGAGTTGAGAGCACACGCCCGGCTGATCCTGAGCTCGAGGGACAGGTCTGGGGGTCACGTGCCCACAGGAGTTACTGCTCACCACACCAGGAAAGCCTGGGTGTCTGAGGCAGCAGCAGGAAGTTCCTCCAGGGACATACCGTGGTTCATGAGGTAGGAACCACAGAATTTGAAAAGAAGGAAGAGGCTTGGCCTGACCTTGGCCCAGTCCTGCATGAATGATGGGTAATTCTGAGGCTGAGTAGATAGGAGCAGTTTGCACCCAGAGAGTCCAGGGGTGAGAATATGAATCGCTGGCAGAGGCCCTAAGGTCTCCATGCCAGCTTCAGGTATGCCACAAGCGAGGGAGGGAGGTGACACCCGATTCCTGGGGGACAGGCCTTGGGGACATCTCTGCCTCCAGCAGCTCCTGGGACTGAAGGCCACTGCCACCATGGGGCCGGCTACTGATCTCCCCTCTGCATGCCTTCTGCCTTGGTGGGCACGTTCGGTTTGGTTTGCACTCATTGCCACTTACCCACGGGCTCAATTCTGGAAATGAAGAAGGACCCTTTCTATCCTTTACCGCCAGCCCCTCACGCATCCCCAACCTCTCAGCAAGCCCCGCGGGCTGCCTCCTCTTGATGCGCCTCGCATCTGCTCACCTCTCAGCACCTCCCTTGCTGCCACCGGGGTCCAGAGCACCGCTGGTTCTCACAGGAATCACGGCAGCCACCTACTAACCGGCCTCCCAGCTTCCTCCCCCGTTGGGCAGCTCCCCCAACAATCATTTCTCCACGAAGCAGTCGGAGAGACCTTTTACGCCATAAGTCATCCACTGGCTTCCCATAGCAGAGCAATAAACTGTGGCTCCCAAAGTCCCAGGGGACACCTCCCAATTCATCCTCATCATCAGCCCTTCCTCTTTTCTGTTCCCCTTCTTTGCCACACCTGCCTCTTTCATTTAGCCAACCTGGTTGACCCCAGGGCCTTTGCACAGGAGAGTTCTACTTCCTAGAGTCCTCTTGCCCTCCCCTCCAGCCCCACTCCTTCTAACTCTCTGATGGTCTCAGCTTAAATGTCACTGCTTGTAAGAGGCCACTTATCCCCTCTTTCTCAAGCCGGTTCTCCACCCCAGAGCCCCCTCGGCTCACTGTCACCATCCGTGTCACTGCCACTGCACTGTTCATTTCCTTTGTAGCGCTTCTCACAACTGGCAGGAAGACGAACGGTATTTGTCAGGTTATGCATCTTCCATCTCTGTCAACGGACCGTAGTCTCCACAGCGGTCTGTCTTATTCACTGCTCCATCCCTCAGTCTACCAGGGTGTGGCACATAGTAGGCACTTGAGAAATATTTGGTCAGTGAATTAGTAAGCAGATTGGCTCATGTGGCCATGAGTAAACCGGCAGGCCAGGCTCAAGGTCCCAGGCCGTGGTGCCCGCTAAACCTCCGAGGACGCCTCCCCTTGGCCTCCTTGGCGCTGTGCTCTGACCAGTGAGGGAGTGAACCAGCGACCCCAGCCCCGAACAAAGGCCCAGCCCCGCTCCTTTGCCACAGTCGCGTCCTGACTTGTCTACCATGTCCCAGGCCCTATGCCGGGCCCTGAGGAAACGCGATGAATGTAACCCATTCCCTGCCTTGAAGAAGCCACCAATTCACTGGGGAGGTAGGTGGGTAAAGAGGACATCATGTAAAGCACGGTGACAGTCACCCTGGAGGGATCCACTGGGGACTGTGGAGGCAGACAGAGGCAGAGGCAGAAAGCAGGCGATTGCCCGGTAGAAAGGCGGGCTTCTGGGGCCCCATGCCAGTTGCCTCCTTTGCCCCCACCTGATATTTCCATCTCCTCCACTTACCCCCCAGGCTTTTCTGGACCCCGAGGTGCTCCTGGACAAACACCAATTGCAGAAGCTGTCCAGGTTCCCCCTGGACCCATGGGTCTACCGGGCATTGATGGCATCCCTGGTCTTACGGGAGACCCTGGGGTTCAAGGCCCTGTAGGCCTCCAAGGTAAGGAGAGCACCAGTGACAGGGGACTTCTCGGGGGGCGGGGGAGCTAAGACGGCCTTGGCTGAGAGGCTGAAGCAAGTGGCTGGGATCTCCAGCTCCGAGGATGCACCTTCATGGGGCATTTCCTCCTTTCCTTCACAAAAGCCCCTGAGCTTCTTGCCGGGAAGGAGGGCCAGCAAGGTCAGCAGATGTACTTGGCTTTAGAGAATGTGTGCGCAGAGCAGAGCGACTACTCTGGGCAGCGCGTCCCTCTCTAAATATGCTGCCCAGGGAAGGAGGGAGTGCGGTGGGGGATCAAGAGCCAGGGACAAAGCCCGGGGCCGGGAGGCCCGGGAAACCCAGCTTCTAATCCCAGCTGATGCACCAGCTCGGGTAAGTGAGTAGTCTCTCCGGGCCCAGGTGTCCTCATCTCTGACGTGGGACTCCGACAGTTTCTGTGCATTCTGGGCGTTGCTGGGAGGATGAGAGGAAGGGAGGGAGAAATAGGTGTGAGGGGGGCTCAGAAGGGCTAAGTGCAGAGCAGTGGTCCCAGGACAGATATGCCCGGACTCGGGACTCCAGCTAGGGACTAGCCCAGGAGGCTCAGCCTGAGTGCTCTAAAATGATGGCCACTGCGCCCTCTCCTGGTAAGTCCTGGGCATGACACAGGAGTCCTTTTTTTCTCTGGGGCCTGTTCTCGCGGACCTCCCACACACGGTGTCTGAGCTGCCGGCCTCCTCCCCTTGCAGGCTCCAAAGGTTTCCCTGGCATCCCTGGCAAAAATGGTCTCAACGGACTCCCCGGCCCGCCTGGGGCTCTTGGTGACCCTGGTCTCCCCGGACTGCAAGGCCCTCCAGGATTTGAAGGTCTGGTGATGTCAGCCCCAGGGGGCAGAGGGTTTCCGTGAGGATGGGAGGCTTTGGAATGAGCCCAAATCTCAAATCTGAGAAACAGGAAACCGGGCAGTAAAGCTTGACACTACTAGGAGCCTGGAAGACCAGACTGCATTCCATTCGCTCCCACCCCACCTCTGAGCCTAGGAAGGATGAGCCCCCCACCTTCTGGAAGGCAAAGGACTCCTTCCAAATCCTTCTCTGGGTTCTCTCCCAGCTCTCGGGAGAGCTATGACTGTCCTCTAGCCTGGCCCCTGGCCCTGCACCTCCCCTCTTCTACCCTGGGATTCTGACATGGATGGGAAGGGGGCGGTTCAGGGCATAAGAAAGTCTGAGATGAGGAATGGCTGCTACTTACCTCCCATTTGACAATGCAGATGGCAAATCAGTTGTCCTGCGTAGAGAACGGCTCTGAGGCTCAGTGGAAAAGGGGGGCGATTAATTAGCCACGTCTGCCATGGGCAGGAGAGTGGGTGTGATTTTTGCCCCGCTAGTCCCAATTCTGCTTCTGCTGCCTCTGATTCAGCAGGGTCTCGGTTATGTCCTGGGAGAGCCTGCAAGATCCCCTCGTAGAGGACCTGAGGCCAGGTGGCAGTGGGAGGGGAGCTGGGTAGCACACTTTTTCAAATAGGAACTCTGCTGCTGGATACACCTGAGTTGGCATTCCAGCTCCACGGGCTACGGCACTTGTGAGCCTGTTCCCTTATCTGCCAGCCGGGGTAATCATGTTGCTGTGAGGATCCAGTGAGCCATGCGGTGTGCCGCGCTCGGTGCTCGGCACGAAGTCTGTAGCTGCCCTTATGAGCGGCTCAGCCCCCTTTCCCGCTCTCTCCCTCTCAGGTGCTCCAGGGAAGAAGGGTCCCTTCGGGAGGGCTGGAGTGCCTGGGCAGAGCGTGAGAGTGGGGTACACGTTGGTGAAGCACAGCCAGTCGGAACAGGTGCCCCTGTGCCCCGTCGGGACGAGCCGGCTGTGGGTGGGCTACAGCTTGCTGTTCGTGGAGGGGCAGGAGAAAGCCCACAACCAGGACCTGGGTAAGTACTGGCTCTGACACCAGCCCTGGCCATCCTCCACCCCGCCCCCCCCCCCCACCACCACCAAGGAGGATCAAGAGCTCCCCTCCTCGGTCCTCCCGGCCCGGGGCGGGCCCACCGTCGGGCAGCAGGGTTCGAACACCAGCTGTTGCATCAGGCGGCTCTGGGTTTAAACCCTGGCTCTCCCACTTACAGGCGGGGGACCCTGGACAAATTCCTCGGCCCCTCTGAGCTTCCACTTGCTCCTCAAATGGAAACAAAGCTAATGCTCGTACCTATCTCAGAGGCACAAGGATCGTAAGGATTACATGAATCACCCAACGGAAAACGCTTAGGACAATGTCTGGCATGTTAAGCATCCATTACACATTAGCGATTAGCAGGAGTAATAATAATAATATGACCTGTGGGGCAACAGCAATTACCCAGGAATTAATTGTATTGTCTACAGGTGTGCCGACTCTGAACCACAGACTCGCTCTATTAAATGCCGGTTTTACGCCACAGATTAATTAGGGAGTCGTTATGCGGCTTATACAAAGATTCCTTTCATTCTCAAACTTCCCTGGTGAGTTGAAAATAGGATTTGACCAACAGACGCCAGTGGATGTACCATGTGCCAGGCCTGGAAGGAGGGGCGTCCCTGCTCTGGGACAAGCGATTGGATGCCAACCCGGCCCGTCCAGCCCTAGTGGCGCCGGGGACAGTCTCAGCCCCGCCTCTCAGCCACACCTTACACCAAAGCCCCTGCCCACCTGCTCTCCTTCCAGGCTTTGCTGGCTCCTGCCTGCCCCGCTTCAGCACCATGCCCTTCATCTACTGCAACGTCGACGAAGTGTGCCACTACGCCGGGCGCAACGATAAATCCTACTGGCTCTCCACCACTGCCCCCATTCCCATGATGCCCGTCGGCCAGGCCCAGATCCCCCAGTACATCAGCCGCTGTTCTGTGTGCGAGGCGCCCTCGCAGGCCATCGCCGTGCACAGCCAGGACGTCACCATCCCGCCGTGCCCCCCGGGCTGGCGCAGCCTCTGGATCGGATACTCCTTCCTCATGGTGAGGCCCTGCCCTGCCCCCTTCCCCGGTGTAGAGGCAGAGGGCGGCGGGGAAGCGGGGGAAGCCCTGGGAGGGTCCCTCAGTCGGGCTTGCAGGCCCAAGTGACATGAGGTAGGAACCACAGAATTTGAAAAGAAGGAAGAGGCTTGGCCTGACCTTGGCCCAGTCCTGCATGAATGATGGGTAATTCTGAGGGTGAGTAGAAAGGAGCAGTTTGCACCCAGAGAGTCCCGGGGTGAGAATATGAATCGCTGGCAGAGGCCCTAAGGTCTCCATGCCAGCTTCAGGTATGCCACAAGCGAGGGAGGGAGGTGACACCCGATCCCGGGGGGACAGTGAGGGAGAGGCTGTCCCCACTCAAGGCCGGACACACTCTTCATTGCCCAGGCTGGGCATGGGCGCCCCTCCTCTTCTGCCCACCGACCCAGGTCCCTCTGGCCACCTCTCATAACCTCCTGAAAGGCTCAGAGGAGGGCACGCTGTGTTTCTACATCCTTGCTGGGATCTTTGCTGCTGCTCCCCGTTGCCGTGGGAAGGCTGTACATCTTGCTAGGAAAGAGCTGAGAACGTCTGCAAGCCCAAAGAGGCACCAAGGCCCTCACACGCCATTCCGTGTGACTATCGGGGGGTGGGGTGGGGACATTCAATGAGTGAAAGGTCAGGTTTCGGGCCAGAATCGCTCCCAGGGAACATGAGGGTGGCACCCGCGGAAGTACCCTGCGTCGCCAGAGCTTCCTTGCTAAATCGCCGGGGGTGAGATGATGAGAAAGCGTCTTTGAAGAATTACCAAAGCCTTAGGCCTCCTCACATTGGTGTACCTGCCTGGGAGGAGGTACTTCCTTGTTCTGCTCTCTTGGTGGAATCGGGCCATTTATCCCCAAGTAATACGGAATGGCCTCACCTCTCATTCTGTCCCGTCCACCACCCAGGCCAGGAAACGAGTCGAAAAGGCCCCTGAGCTTCCACAAGCAATGGTAAAAAAGTTGTACAAAATCGCATGTGTCTTGCTCCCGGGAGCACTCTTAAGTCCTTAGTCACAATCTCTTTACTCTTACTTTACACAGAATTCTAACATTCTAGAATATCCATATTTTCCTGAAAACCTGTAAGGGTGGGAATTTGGACTGCCTAATATGGCATCTTGGAGCTATAAGACATGCCTATAAGAAGGAGAAAAGAGAAAATGATTCAAAGGTGGCCTAAGAACTCTACAAGTTGTGTCCCTTGGTATGGGGACACAACTGCCCAACACAAAAAGCAACATTCCCAACAATAAGCCTGAGTCCTGCGCCAAGTGTAAAAGACGCAACGTCTGCCATTTAGCAAGGCAGGGAGGTGTGTCGTCTGTTCCGGAAAGTGTTCTGTCTGAGGATCCAAATGAGGAAAACTTTGATGTTTCATTTGTCAGGAAAGATCCCTTATAGGGAGACTAACCCTCCGGGAGTTCTGTAAAGCCAAGCCATCCCTGAGCGTCCAACTTGGGCATCTGTCCCATTGGCCATTTGCTGACCCCGGGGGTGGGGTGGGGGATGAAGCCTCTTCCTCACCCCCTGTGGTCCAGCTAATACCCCAGCTGCTGTGAAGGGAGACGGGGTGGGGAGTGCAGAGACCCGGGACTGCTGCCTGTGGGTACAGTGACTGGCGACTATGGGCTAATGAATGGCACTGACATTGGATGCCGAAGGGGCCCTGACGGGAGGGCCGGGACACTAGGCCACATGCGAGGCCCTCTTGTACGCAGCAAGCAACAAACGCTCTCTGTTGCCCTGAAGGGTGTGGTACAGATGGAAAACGTAAGAAGTTCTGAGGAAGGTAACTGCAGAGCCAGCGCTATTCACAGATAGGCTGGGGGAGGGGCCCAGGGTTTAGCCACTTGGTGGGGCTCCAGGCGTGCTCTTTCTCTTCTTGGGGGTCACCACCAAGGGCTTGGAGTAGACCAGGGCTCGGAGAAGACCTGCATCCTCAAACCTCCTGAGTCCGCCTTCATCCAGCCTTTCTGGGACTTACCTGCCCGCGGGGATCGGCAGGGAGCCCCCGAACACGCCTCGGAACTCGGCGGGACACCCGCAGTTTGGCGGGGAGGGGGGGGCACTCTGGCCGAGAGGTCCCCGCTGCCCAAGCGCGGTGGGTTAGGAGGGCCCTTGGGGAGCTCGGAGGGGACGCTCCCGGCCCCGAGGACGAGCAGCCCCTGGTCCTGTAATGTGAGCTTTGGGGGTGCTGGCTAGATGCTGGGGCTGAGCCGAGGCGCCGGAGCTCCGGCGGGCGCACAGCCCACGCGCTGACCGTGTCTTGCAGCACACTGCGGCGGGCGCCGAGGGCGGCGGCCAGGCCCTGGTCTCCCCGGGCTCCTGCCTGGAGGATTTCCGAGCCACTCCTTTCATCGAGTGCAGTGGGGCCCGGGGCACCTGCCACTACTTTGCCAACAAGTACAGTTTCTGGCTGACGGCGGTGGAAGAGAGGCAGCAGTTTAGGGAGGAACCGGTATCTGAAACGCTCAAGGCCGGGCGGCTCCACACCCGGGTCAGCCGCTGCCAGGTGTGTATGAAAAGCCTGTAGGGTGGCACGTGCCCCCCTGCCCCCTGCCCGCCCCTCCCCCACACAGCGGGCCCCTCACAGCCCCGGACGAGCTGAAGAAGGAAGGCCCCATGCCCGGGTGCCCCTCTGTCGAGTCTCCCGCGGGCTGGGCTGCTGGGCACTGGTCAGCCGGCCCTCCTGAGGTCGGCTGTCCCACTTCAACCTGGTGCTGCCGCTGGATTCGGAGGTTCGCATGCTTATTCACGGCTGCCTCCGAAAGACCTGCTGGGCGACTGCTTTCTTAGACTCCGAGGTCACCACACATTCTTTGGCTTAAACCAGAAGCCGGTGTTTCCACGTTCAGAAAAGAAACTTGTCCGGCAGCCCGGGGTGCGCTCCGATTCCTTCGAGAGTGAGCGCGGCTGGGCCCCAGAGTGCTTCAGGAGGGGGCTCGTTAACTTCGGATGGTGCCCAACGAATCACTTCCTCCTTGCTGGCTCCCTCCCCAGCCAGAGACCTAGGACTTGGCCTGGTCCAGAGTAGAGCAGGGGAGGCATGGAATGCAGCCGGGGGCCCAGAAAGGGAAATGAGAACCACACCCCTTTCTCCCAGGCTGGGGGGCGGGGAGGGGGATGGGTAAGGAGGTGTGAATTTTGCTTTTGACTCCAGGAACAAAACGAGGCAAAACCCTTGTCCCAGTTTCTCAGAGGTCCCTGTTTATTCCAAATGCCATCCAGATGTGTGCGGTGGGGCAAATCGAAGCCGCGGTGTGTCGGGTCCTCAGCGTTCTGAGGCTGTCCTTAGAGACTTGCCATTAAAATGTCCATCCAATTGCTCTTTCACAGGTAGCCTGTTAAACTATTTTAATACTTTGTTAAACCTCATACAAATCTAGCACACTCCTCTCCTTAGCAGTTGGCAGACCTAAAGCAAGACTGAGTTGACTATAAAGTGTATTATATTCTCTGCAGGGGGATGTGTTTTAACCATTTCCTCTGATTATCAGTTTCCCAGAATACTTAGCTATGTTAACATGAGGCAACTCCTTCCAGGTGATTCTCTTTCCTTAAATATTATGTAAACCGGACCAACACAGAGAAAGCATAATCAGTATAATCTGAATTATTGTTACCTTCACCTCCTGAGTAATAAGCATGCTGCCAGCTTTGTACATTGCAAATAAAAGGAACCAAACATCAACATTTGACTCTTTTGACATTCTCTGATGAATACTTTTCTAAAGTCCATTTCGCTATAATTCGTGAGTCCCCCTCAGAGCCTGTTACTGCAAGCTGAGCTTTACAACACAACACACTGAGGTGGGAAAAGTACAATTAAAGGTCAAAGGGCAGAAGGCAACAAATCCACAACTCAGTTTCAAAATCTGCCCACAACTGCTTTTAGCCCCGTCCATGCTAGAGTTCAAGAAACGGGTTTCCATACTTCTGGGGCTTCAGGATCTTTTATAGATAAATCGAAAGTAGAGAAATGTTGGGGCACCTGGGTGGCACAGTCAGTTAGGCGTCTGACTCTTGGTTTCGGCTCAGGTCATGATCTCAGGGTCGTGAGGCCGAGCCCCACGTCGGGCTCCGTGCTCAGCGAGGAGTTTGCTTGAGGCTCACCCTCTCCCTCTGCCCCTCCACAACCCCCCTCACGCGCACATGCTCTGTCTCAAAAATAAAATCTTTTTTAAAAACTAGAGAAATGTTGAGGTTGTTAAAATCAAATCCAAGGCATATATGCATATATTTGTATATGCATAAAACATATCTTCTGGACGGATAAACAAGAGAGAAATGATGCTGGGAGTATTCGGGGAAGGTCACCGACCTGTGGGAGGGAGAGACATTTTCATCGCATACCATTTTGCACCTTTTGATTTCTGAACCACTGGAATATATTACCTACTGGGAAAAAAAAAAAGAAGAAAAATGGAATTTAAGGAAATAAGTGTTCTAATATTGCTACATATACAAATGAAACAAAACCAGCTTTGCTCTGGTGCTGGCTTTCAAGCTAGTGGTTGCTGGCCTTCCTCAGGCCTTGGTGGAGGAAGGGGGTGAAATGCACCCACGTTAAGAGGGGAGGAAAGGAACACGGGCAGATGCCACTTAGGCTTGAGGTGCAGCCACACAAAAGAGGGTTTAGCAAAGCCAATTTGATGAAAATGTACTTTAAGATTTGCTATGTTGCTCATCCCGAAACGGTTTGGAATTGCACTTGCTGCACGGATTAAATGTCACCACGTGAATAATTTTTTCTAACTGTGGCTGTGAACCAATATGGAGTCAAAGTCAAACACCATTTTTTATTTCCCCCGAATCAACAATTTTAAGTCAGTGATTGGCAAACTTACAGCCTGCACGCCAAATCCAGCTCGCCACCTGTTTTTGTAAATAAAACTTTATTGGCTTATAGCCAGGCTCATTTGTGTGCCCGCTGGTGTTGGCTGCTTTTGCACTTTGACCGCAGAGCTGAGTGGCTGTGACACAGGCCGCCTGGCCCACGAAACTGAAAGTGTTTACTATTTGGCCCTTGGCAGGAAAATTTGCCCACCGCTGATTTAAAGTGATCATGACTTGGGGCGCCGGGGTGGCTCAGTCGGTTAGGCGTCTGCCTTCAGCTCAGGTCATGAACCCAGGGTCCTGGGATCGAGCCGTGCGTCGGGCTCCCTGCTTCACGGGGAGTCTGCTTCTCCCTCTCCCTCTGCCCCTCCCCCCAACTCATGCTCCCTCTCTCAAATAAATAAAATCTATTTTAAAAAGAGTTTTTAAATAAATAAATAAAAATAAAGTGATCATGACTTGATTGAAGGGCAGGGTGACATCTGACAAAAAGATCAGTAAGGATGGTGACAGCGACCCATCAGACAGCAAGGTTCCCTCAGATAGGAATGAGAACAACCAGTGTGCATTTGCTGTAATTTCTCGGGCAGATTTTTGATCTGGATTATAACCATTTAAAATACATATCCAAATAACTTAATAAGACCTTTTTCTCCCTGATGCAATCACTTTATTTTTAGAGCAAGAGAACAGATGGCCTCTTAGTATTTAGCCCAAAAGAGGTCACTCCTGAAAGGGAGAAGAAGCACAGGGTAACCATCTCTCCTCTGCTGGTGCTTGAAGCAAAGTGGGAGTTGCTGTCTATCTGCTAGACACCCATCTCCTCGTTTCAGTAGCTGCAGACTCGCTGTGGCCAGGTAAGACAAGCTGGGAAGCAAGGGACGGCTCCTAACCTTTCTGCTCCTATGTTCCATGATTGTTCTAGTTCGTCCTGGGGAAGGGTTGTTATCGTTCGTTTTCTGAGAAATGGTAATTGGCTCAGTCATGATTGCTATCAAGTTTGTATGCTGTTGGCATATCAGGCACTTGCTGACTAGAAAAGTCTCATGTAATGGATTCGTGTTCTTCCGGTGCCGGATCGAAGACAGACCTCCAAGTCGTGTTTCCACTACCCTAGACGCTCAGGATCTCGAAATCTTCCTCCAGGTCAAACTCCTCTAGTTGTTCCGTGGAGTCAATGAATTCTATCGGAATATGGAAATGAGAAAGAAGAAAGCTTGATACTTGGGTTGAAGTGGTCAGTACAGTTACGCGGTAGTTAAGACTATTCATTTTTTAATGGTTTTGCTACAGAAAAGCTTCTGTGGAGGAGACTCGCAGGGGGAACCGCGGACAAGCACTAGAGATTCTTTCGAAAGAAGCAAAAACAATTGAGCTCGTTACACGCTCTTATTCCCAGGGACGAGGATGAGGCTCTGGGGTCTTTGAGGTACCTTTTGAATCACCCCTGGCCTCTGATTTGGTTTTGGGGCCAGACCATGAATACACGTTCTCGTCATTTTTGATTTTGCATGGCCCTTTTGCATCGAGCTCATTTTCTTCAACTATCAGGCTTTGAAATTGGTAAAGATCAGTTCACTGGAAGATTAAAATCATCGGGGACACCACTCCTTGCTCAGGCCAGCTGAGGAGAAACTGTACCTTCCATGGAAAGCGTGAGCCAGTCGCTTCGGTCTTGTGAAACAACCGCTACCCAAGAGCCCGCGAACAATGGCTTACCTGCCCCAGTGGTTGTCACTTCTGGCTTGGCTGGAGGAACAAAGGGAGGCCAGTGCGATGGGCGTTTCTGAACTAATTCAAACATCCTTAAGTTTTCCTTTAGGATTTCCTGAGGACACACAGAAACGGCTGTAAACATTTCACACTGACTACACATTTCGGTCCGGTTGTCCATCTGTGATCCCAAGCCCTGCAAGAGTGACCTGGTTGTGGAAAGGCGAGAACAAAGCCCTGGCCAGTGTGCCCATCCTCTACTTGATCATCTGAAGACCCAGCCCCCCTTCAATTCTTGCGCTGGTCTGTGAAGGACACTGGAGGGAGTAGCTGACGGAAGGCCAGTTGCCTGCGCCTAACTCAGTTCAGCACCGAGCTGTTCCTGATGTGTTGGCTCCAAGGAAATGTGTGTTAATTACGTGAAATCTGCCCCCCAGAGGATCCTGGGACATAGTGTTGGCGGGGTTTTGATTTTAGTCCAACACTTGTGGTGTATGTCCTAATTTAGATGGCAGAGTCTTACCAGAGAGCTTTCATTCAAACTTTACAGGGGGTGTGACTAGAGCTTCGCTGCATTCTGACAGATTAAGTATTGCCTTTAGAAAAGAATTCTCCATTTTGTCCCAGCCAGTGATTAACTGGGGCTGCAGAGTCAGCTAGAGACATTAGTGTCAATTACCTGTGCGCTTGTGAAGAAAAAATCTGCCCTCCTTACACTTGCAGGAGGCTCTGGGCTCCCATCTCCCCAAACTCTTTTTCTTCTTTTTCCCTTTTGTTGCAGATAGGAGAACAGCAAGTCTCCCGCCACCCCACCCAGGGCGCTTTTCAACTACTCCCTGTGGTCGCCCTTCTTTCATAAGCATTGATCAATGTCTCCCACATGCTTGGCATGTGTTAGAAGCGAGGATGCGGGGGGCAAATACCAAGACTGGTGAGCCAGCAAAACAGTAAATATCCTTTTACACAAAATACCGAGAAGAGAGA